GACTTACTTCGACTCATATTTTATCCAACGATATTTAAATCGCTACCAAATTTTATAAAATGGAATGTGATTGCTTTTAAAAACGCTCGTTTATATTAAGCATAGTTTTTAAGCAAGGCGAAAGCAAGTCTTTTTAGCTGGTAACGCGGCTATTTGACAACTAAGCGATGACATTCGTCATCTGAGCCTGTGTCCAGTCCTACGACAATTGCACAATCTATATTAAAAATCCGTTCTGTTTTCTATCGATTAAATAAAAAAATATGCAACGTAAACAAGCTCTACATTTTCAATTTTATCATTTTACTTTTCCCATGTATAGAACATGGAATTTTTTGTTCAAAAAACCAACAACTTTGGAAAAAGGATATTCTATTGTAATACAAAATTTAGTGTTCTACTAAAGATCTCATCGGTTTTCGCATAAAAATATTTCTTTAAAAGTTCTGCACAGTTAAAATTATATATCAAATTTACTGAGCATTCATACAAGTGCCTTTTAAATTCTCTGTTGCTCATACAACACGGTGTACTGTATGAATACGGTACAGTTCATGTATAGCTTGAAGCTTTAGAATAGTTTTAACATTTTTTAACTCTAAATTAATTGAAATTCAGAATTTTAATCCCTAGTATTCATTTCCAACTACTTTCGTTTATAAAGCACGATAATATTTATATATCCGTGTCTGTTTGTGATGCCAATATATATTTTTCGACCTATCTTCGGTAATCGACAATATTTTGGTCAGAAAAATGAGGCCAGAAAAAGTCAAAGCTTCCGTTTTAATCCATTTGAATTCTGCCTCTCATTTTCAGAACAAAACATTTTCATAGATTATTTCGGTTAAAATTTTAACTCACAACTCATTCAGTGGTAAATATAGCCTTGGGAGTAATCAGAATTCAATCTCAATTATCTTAAAGTATGTAGAGTATCTTAGAAATATTCTCTGAAATTTTAAGTAAATCCGTTAATTACTTTTCAAGTTAATTACCTAAGGGTTCTCAGTCGCTCTGGAACGTCTGTGCAAGCGATGTGTAAAAATTTAGATATCTTAATGAAACTTGATGCACGTGTTTCTTGGCAAGAAAGTAAGGACAAGTTCGTAGATGGGCGTAATCGGACCACTGCCACGTCCACAAAACACCTTTAATCGAAAACCTATAAAATGCCATAACTAAGCACTAAATAAAGATATAAAACTGAAATTTGGTACAGGGGATTGCAGTAGCAAGCGGCACTGTAAGCTAAAAATTAAAAAAATGAGCATGGCCCATGTACATATCTCCTAAATCACTGATACTACAAAATCCAAATTTGCTTTGCAAATTCTATAATAAACTATATCGACAGTGTGAAAATGGATGAAATCGGTTTATAACTCCGCCCTCTCCCCATATAACGATTCTGTTAAAAACTACTTAAAGCAGACATTAAATTTTACATCCAAGATGATACCAGAGCGCTTTTTAGGAGCTGGGGACAAAGTTGAACGACGGCCATGGTTATCCAGATCTACTTGACCAATTTCAATCAAATTTGGTATACAACATAATCCTGGCGATCCTAGGTCACATTGTGAAAATGGACTTGCGAAATCGGACTACAACCCCACCCACTTTTCATATTCACCAATGAGTATATTCGGATAAAACTTTGCACAAATACTGCCTTTGAGGTATCCTTGCACGTTACCAGAGTATAAAATATTTGGTTACACTTAAATTTAGCCCTTTCTTACTTGTTTTTCAATTAATTTCAAGAAGCTTCGGTTGGAACTGGATCAATATAAACAGCCATTAATTTTAAAACAATTAATTTTTTTTCAAATTGCTGTCAAGTCGAAACCTTATTTAATAATGCTTTACTTTTATAAAATAAAATAATTTACTGGCAAACAATTATTCAGAATTGTCATATTTCATGCCTTTGACTACACCTAACCCCTTATAAACTCAACAAAAGTAACCGTTAATTTTCTAAGGATCAAAGTGAACATATTCGCATGTGCTGCGAAAGTTGCGCCAATAGTAGTCATTTTGGTAGAGTAAGAGTATCACTTGAAGTGTCCGTTTCCATGAAACTTGTTTCTACGTAACATGAACGGCTCCGCTTTACGTGCCGAACGTCTGTCAAAATGGCCGATTTCTATAAAAATAAGTTTGGAAAAGTTTGTGTCGCCTCAACAAGAGCAATAATACACTAAAAACTTTTCTTTCAAGAACTGCTTTTGAATCCATAACACTTTTTCCAACATTAAAAGTAAATTCAATCAAATAATAATTTTTTTTAACTCTTATTTATCAATTAAGTTTCTGTTTCGGTTTTTATTGATTTATATGAATTCATTAATATTAGTTAATATATTCTTCTTGCATTTCAAAACGATATTTTCTCTGAGTTTTGAAAAGTAGACAACAAAAGACCAGTAAACATATCCAATATACAAATAACACATATGTAATTAGTAACTAGTCTTAATGTAACTAGTCATATTGAGAATATCTAGTAGCTATCAGGCTATCTATAGTATTATATGTTTGTTTGTATGCATGTGCATACTGGTATGTATCCCTATTCGAATATGCATGCATTTATGTTTTAGGTAAACGTAGTGGGGTTTGGGTGGGTGGGATTAACTGTTTTTGTGCATACACTAACAAAAAAACGTCAACGAAATATTTTGTATTCTCTTTCTCTCTTTGCATTTAATAACTCGCTGCAGTTTATGTCTCGGGATAGCGACAATATGATGTGCTCTCCATCAGCTCGCGCGGTATCCAGTCCTCATATAGAGGCAAACGATTCTTCAGCGTCTCAACTTCACGTAAAATACGCACCACATTACCGCCAATTAACTTCTTTATAGACGCATTGCCCCAAACACGATCGCGTGCGAGCTCAGCGAGTAGAAAAGCATAGCTTTTGGGCGCACCGCCAAGTCCAATGTGATCCACACCAGCCACCTTACGTACATAGTTGATGGCATTGATAGCTTCGCGCACCGAAAAACGACGCTCATCGCAACGTTCCAAGTTTAGCATTATAACGCCGCCGTTGTCTGACAGCAGACTAACAAGAAAAATTATGAGCGCACGATTAAAATGTATGCGAAAGGAGAAATGAAACTTACCTCAAAACGCGATCGGGTATGGAGGCGACGCTCGAGCTGTTGCAAAGGGAAATCGGTACAGCGTTCAAAAGCAAAACGGGTGCTTTGGCGGTGTGTAAGGCAGTGACCATGGCCGCCTCGGAAAGTTGCGAAATTTCAATAAGCATACCCAAACGGTTCATCTCGTAGAGCACCGTCTGCAAAGATAATGCATAAGAATTGTTAAAACTTCAAATTATAAACAGCTTAGCGACTACTCACTTTCCCGAACTCGTTTATTGAATGCGTGGCATTTTCTTCGAATAAATAATCGTGACTGCGTATGCAAGCGGCGGCCCACGGTGTAGTGCATTCCAAACTAGTGATCGATACAAAGCGCGCGCCCAGCAGATACATGGAACGCAACACCGCCAGGCTAGCGCCCAATGTATGACCGCCGCCAAGTCCCAACATTACAGCCACCTCACCACGTATATGTGTCTGTTCCATTTCGTCTGCAGATAGCACGATATGCAAAGCATCCGTATTGGCGGTGATGCGTCGCGCCTCATCGATACCCTCCAACGCCAGCTGCACTGCATCCAAATATTGTGCGCCACAGGGCACTGAGATCGGCCAGAACACCGCACCGACATGATTGCGACGCACTTCATTCAACAGACCGCCGCTGGTACGATTCACAGCATCACGCATTGGTGGCTGCCAGGAAGAGCCCTCAATAAGTGGTGACTCGGTCAACAAACGACGTATGAAAGCCAGACGCGCCTCCAGCAGTGAGGAAGAACGCAACTGTAGAGCCAATGGTATGCCGCCAGCCATTGCTATGCACACCAACATTATGCCGAGCACCACTATCAGGCGACGATTGCGCGACGAACGGCTTGGCTCACTGCCACTATCGCTGCACGCACTCATTTTGTAGGCAGCAGCGGCTATGGCGCCATTCTTCAACTTCTCACCGCCGAGCTTTGTGATCTCAGGCGGTAGTTCAATATCGGCAATCTCTGTGAAAACAAAACACTGTTGCTTGCAATGGGGCTGATGTTCGTGTGGTGGAGCCTTCAATTCGTGCGGATGTGAGAGTTGTACGGGCGGTGGTGGCGGTGGCGGTGCGTTGCTTAATAAAGTATTGAGTGCGACTGCTTGATGCTGCTGATGGTGCTGATGATGTTGATGCTGATGTTGAGGGTACGGATGCTGCTGATGGTGGTGTATGGCGGCAGCGCACACCTCGATATACTCGCGATTTGGCACTGGATTCATGCTGCTGCCATTAAATGTTTGATAATAGCAAAGCGTTTGGCTCTTCGAATGAGCTACAAGCTGCTACCGCTCGGAACAAAAAAATTTTCTTTTCTTTTGTGTTATAGAAGGTTCGATTTTAGTTATCTAATTAAATTTGATTGATTATTTACCAACAAGTGAAATAAGTCCTTTAGCACATACACTTCTTGATGTGAGGAAAAAATCGATTTTCCATTTGACACTTATCCTGCTCCTGCGCAATGCTGCGCCTCACATATTTGTAATAAGACCCACAAAGTTTTAGTCAGCTGGTATTGCATTAACGATGTTTACCTACCTCAAAACAATTGCTGTACTCCTCCTTGGTTCCATAATGGCGAATAGAATTGAATAATTACTTGTAATGTCTGTAAATCTTAAAAACTATTACTTTTTTATTTTTTATACAAATATTTTTAATCCAATTCCTTAAATAATGCCGTCGCAAATATATTATGGGTAAATAATAATTTTTTAAAAATGTATTAATATAAATGATTACGATTTTAACGACAACAATCCATATTTCCGTTCCAATTCCATTTCATGCAACAAGAGAGAAAGTATATTATATCAGAGAACGTATATTATCAGAGAACGTATATCATAGAGAAGCAGAGAACGTATATATCATAACATCTTAAAACAAAATAAATTTCAAGAGCTATTGTGAATTAGCCACTGTCAATAGTCAAAACATTGACGGTCAGCTGTTGTAAACAAATTATTGCACGTGCATATATCGTGCAAATTGTAATTTAATTAATTATTCAAGTCAGAAAAATGCCAGAAATAGAGGGTTATAAAGGTAACTCACACACAAAGTAATAAAAAACATTTAGAATTCCAATAATTATTACTTATTTTATTTTAGTGGTACCTTTACGCCTCACTACAGACCGTCCTATGGAACTGTGTCACCATATTTACATGCGTGAACATTTTATACGATTGGAGGTTGCAGACAAACCAAAAGGCCGCACACTCTTCTTACTAAACGTGCCACCATATGTGACAGAACAGAGTTTGGGCACCTTTTTCCGCGCTAAAGTGGATGTATCAAATAAAGTGAGCTTTGCTGAACGTCCAGGTCGAAATGAAAGTGAAAAATGGCAACAACACTGCATACCGTTTAGCGCGTCAGCACCGCCGTTCAAATTTAAAGTGGCTTATATAGTTTTTCACAAAAGTGTGGGTGTAAAACGAGCGTTGCAAGTGCAAAGCATAGATTTGTTTAATAGTGATGGGAATTGTTTGTTGGAGTCGGGTATGCAACTATTGCATAGCCAATACGAAAAAAGCATTTTAAATGAAGTGGAACTACAGGCGCGCATTGATAAGTATATGGAAGCTTATGATAAGCGCGAAAAGGAGACAATTGAAGCAGCGAAGAACTCCGAAGCAGATGCTGACGGTTGGGTGACTGTTGGTAAACAAGGACGTAACGCTGGTTTCGAACAAAAAGAGTCGGTTGTTGGACGATTAGAAGAGAAAATAGTGAAAGGCAAGAAGAAAAAGGAATTAGAAAATTTCTACACTTTTCAGATACGTGAATCGAAAATGAAGAATATAATTGAGTTGCGCAAAAAGTTCGAAGAAGATAAGCAGAAAATCGAAGCACTAAAGAAGACACGTCGTTTTAGACCTTTCTAGTTTAATATGTACTTATAATATACGCTATATACTTTATAGATTAGTGTACATTTTTTATTTGTAAAAATACAATTTATATTAGTATAGCTTAAACTAAATTCAATTTTTTCTATTTGCTTTTATAACCATTGTCATAAGTGGGTGTGGCGGAAGTGTTTCCAAGAGGCACAATAACTGTGTTATATTGCCATACATGCACTTCACAGATATTGCTAACTGCACTGCTTGTGCCAACCGCTCCACACTTTTTTGATATGCCGCATCTTTGATGGGTTCGACCTTATCCGCAACCAAGCGTGCTACATACGTTTGCAGCGGACCCACATTTTGTGCCACATGCTGAGCGTTTAATGCTGTTGGCGGACCAGAGTTCTCTATTTGTAACATCGTTTGCAGAAGCCACAGGTGCAAATTACTATATGAAGGACGATTAGAGAACATAGGTGACAAGACTGCCCAACGTATAAGTCCTGCTAAAGGTGTAACAACGGGCATTGCTATGGCACCACTCGGTAAAGCCAAAGGCTGCTGTGATGCTAAACATAAGTCATGATTTTCACTTATCCATTCAGTGAATACGTCCAGTAAAGCATCAGGGGGTGGGGTTAGTGTGCCATTCTGCTCCTTCATATATAAATCTGCCACAGTTGTCATAAGATTAGCTGCAAAGTGTGGTGCGACCATTGGTAATTGCTTGAATTGCTCCGAAGTTTTTCGTGAAAATGTTATAAAATCACTAACTAAACTTTGTGCCACTTCCAGGCTTGGTGGATTCATGCAACCTACTTGTTGCATCCAAGTACCAGCAGATGAAAGCAGTGGTGCAACAGAACCCGATACAGCAGTGCTCACTAATCGGCACAGTATTTTGGAACGTTGCGGGGTAAGATTGCTGCCAAAGAGAGAGAGAAACACTACGTTGCGTGTAGCATCAGGACCAGGTTGAGAGAAATATTCAATGAGAACTATTATCAGTTGAAACTCTTGAAACGAATTCAATTGTGTGCCGGTAAAGGCTTGTCCTTTACGAATATCAACAGCGTCTTTAGTACGTTCCAAGAAAACAAATTCGGAGATTAGTTGTATTGCAAAGTTTTGTTTGCTGCGACTGACAACTATGCTCTCTAAAATGTAAACGGGATATAATTTTTATAGAGTAAATTACAATATGCGGAGTATACCTATTCGTGGCAGAGCCTCCTTTGCGCAAGCAGGAAATTCCAACTTTCGTAAAGTCTGTTTAAAATCCGCCTGTGACATTTTTGTAACAATAAACACAAATATAACTCAGATGTAAACAAACCGAAAATTACAGAGTACTGAAGAAAACCGGTGTGATAGACAAAATAAAGTTATCGACCTTTTCAAATTATTGCCGGCAAGTGGAATATCGATATCGATTTCTATTGATTTTTGGATGGGCATCTTAACGGGAAATTTCGACAAGCAACAGATGTGGGCTTGATAATTTCATTGTGTATGTATACAACGTATTTATATATTCCTTTCGAAAAAAAATCTTCTAATATATTGCATTTGGAATAGAAGGTACTTTGCTTAGCAAAGTGATGAATTATCGATATTTTGATGCGTGTATCGAACAGAAAACCAGCATCAAAATCTCGATTCTGCTAAATAATTTTATTCCTACCAAAATGCCAATAGAATAGAAATAATTATCTGAATAATTATTGTAATATGACATCCTACATGTAAAAAGTTTTTCTTCGGCTGATGCTAATGCGTATAATATAGTTTAGTTGGTTAAATTTTGTGTTAAGTTTACTTGCGTTTACGTATTCAGAAAGCTCATCACAATAAAAAATAATTCAGCTAATAATGAAGAATATATTTCGGTATTCCACAAAATTATATATGTGAAATTTAATTATTTCAATTGACCTTACAATTTTATCACTTAGTTTTTATCATTTATTACCACTGTGTTTCGAAAATTCCATGATGATCCAGTCGAAGAGCAACATTGTAAATAAATCAGGCAGTTTCATGTGAAAATATTTTTACGTCCCGCGAAAGTTATTTATATTAAATTTAGCGATCGAGTAAGCTTGAAAATGGCTAATATGGCAATAGCTCAAAATCGGCCGCTGGGATTTATCGGCCTACATACAGAATTCACAGTAAGTTTAATGAAATACATAAACATATATTATGTGCTTCCAAATAAACAATTTACTTGTCTCCTCAGAAGGCGCTAAACGAAGCGTTCCAAAAACAGGATGCTCAAATTTTGCGCGCTTCCTATGAGTCCTTCGGCGCAAATACCGATCATGATAAAAAATCGCCCATGGATCAAGCCTTCCGTGAAATGTTACTCTTTCGACTAAGCGATAATGTGGAACAAGTGGGCGCACTTGTACGTTTATCCGTTAAAGCGGTACGCGCGGAAATTGTTTCGGTAACCATACCCGTTGTGTTGTTGGGTGACATTTTCGATGCGGTTACCCTGGATAAATGTGAACAAATATTTAGTTTTGTAGAGGAAATGGTTGAGGTGTGGAAGGAGGATATTTTTTTCTCGTCGTGCAAGAATAATATCTTGAGAATGTGCAACGACCTTTTACGTCGTCTATCGCGTGCACAAAACACCGTATTCTGTGGACGCATTTTGCTGTTTCTATCCAAATTTTTTCCTTTCTCTGAGCGTTCGGGACTGAATATTGTATCGGAATTCAATTTAGATAATGTTACCGAATATGGTGTTGATGGTAAAGATCTAGACGACACTTTGGAAGATACCGTGGAAGATATTCCCATCAAAATCGATTACAATCTGTATTGTAAGTTTTGGTCATTGCAAGACTTTTTCCGCAATCCAAATCAGTGCTATAGCAAAGCACAATGGAAAATGTTTCAAGCTGTAAGTATTGTAAATAAATATTTTCCACCTAAATATATTTAAAAAATTGTATATTTTTCACTCAGCACGCTGGTACCGTACTAGAGGCTTTTGATAGTTTTAAGTTGGAGGAACCACGTCTCAGTAGCGCAGCAGAAAAAAGCGAAAGTGCTCTTACAGCTGCCGATTACCTGGAAAATATGAAAATGGAGGTGGTTGCTGATATGTCAGCTGAAGCAAATGATCAAAAATCGAACCAAACAGATCACATAGTTCGCCAGTCCGATCACTTCTTCGCAAAGTTTCTGACAAATCCGAAGTTACTAACTTTACAATTATCCGACTCTAATTTTCGTCGTTCGGTGCTGGTGCAGTTCCTGATACTTTTTCAATATCTGCAGTTGACCGTTAAGTTTAAGACGTAAGTGGCAAACGCGTTTTAAAAAAAAGTTGGCATTAAAATTATTTTGAATATTTTTTTTTACAGTGAATCGAACACACTCACCACTGCACAAACGGATTTCATTAAAGAGACCGAAGGAAAAGTATACAAATTACTCGAAGAGACGCCACCAAATGGCAAACGTTTTGCTCGCACGGTGCAACATATGTTGACGCGAGAAGAAATGTGGAACAACTGGAAGAATGATGGTTGTAAAGAGTTCCGCAAGCCCGATGATGCCGACCTTGAAAATAGCACAAACAAAGACGCGACAAATGCCGATGCTAAGCCTCCAGCTGCGAAACGTGCCAAACGCACGCTTGGTGACAGTTTGCGCGATGCGCATCGTAGTGGAAAATTTTTTTTGGGCAAGTGAGTACATTTGCGTTGTAAAATAACAAAGTAAATGCATATGTTTGATTATCATTAATTTCTAGTGATGTACTGACACGCCTTTGGAATTATTCGCCCGATAATCTGCAAGCCTGCAAGAGCGAGGAACGCAATTTTCTGCCACAAGTTGAAACATTCCTAGAGAATCCGCATGAAAAGAACGATCCGTCATTTGAATGGCGTGCCTTACGTTTACTGGCGCGACAGTCGCCACACTTTTTCACATTCTTAAACTCACCATCATACAAAATAGCGGACTATCTGGAGGGTGTACGCCGCCGTTTGGCTAAAGATCGTATAGATAATGCCAAAGCAACGATGAATGCAAACAACACATCATTAATGGGTGGGAATTCATCAACTGAATCTCCTAATGCAACCGAAAATAATAGTGATCAAGGGTCTAACAATCAAGAAACCGAGGGTGAACCAGATGCGGACGTCGTTGGGGAAGGCGAAAATGACGGAGACGGCGATGGGGATGGAGATGCCATGCTCACCGAAGAAGATGTGCAAGGTGACTTAGAAAAAGGCGATGATGATCGTAATGCACATACCAAACCGATGACTGCAACCGCGGAACAAATAGAGGAAATCGCCCCGCTCATTGGTGACGACTGGAAGAAGTTGGGCAAAAAGTTGGGCTACACCACCGACGAACTGCTCTACTTTGAGACTGAGCATCCCGATCGTGATGGCGGCTGCATTGCAATGCTAAGTAATTGGTTTGCCGACGACGATGATGCCAGTCTCGATAACTGGGCGTACATGCTTGAGGGTTTGGAGATAAATGCGGCGGCCAAAGCAGTAAAGGCCCTCATTGAACGTCTTACGGCCAAAGAGGAAAAAGTGGAGTTACTATCAGATTAAGTGTGAAGCATTGAGGTTAACTTCAGAACTCGGTTTTGATTTAATTTATATTTTAATAATTTTCCAAAAGTCAAGTTTACAATAATAATTTATCACATGTACAGGGTGTGTATGCATACCGCTGTTTACATTAACATTAAGTCGTCATCTAAACTCTTGGCGGTCCACGCAGACAATTGGCCTCTAGTCTTGGTAGCACCAGGAGGCAACTAATCCACTTTCTACTCGGCGTTGTTAGTTTATATGAGATTAAATGTGTTTGTGGGTGTTTTTGTGTCTACAAAAGGCTGTTTTTAATTATGATTGATTTGGAGCGCACCATACAATATATCTATCTTTTTCTCGGCGCCTGACCCGGCTTGGGCTTATTGTGTAGCATTGTGGCGCAGCGCGGAATGTGTCGCTCAGCAGCGGATTCATTGAAGCGACGCATACAATGTGGACACTGTATGTAGTCAGGATTTTCCGAAGGTGGCGGTGGTGGCAAATCACTCAATTTGCCGCCGCGTGCCAAATGCGCCTGCACCTGCTTGGCTGCGCGTATGGCTTGTATGAATTCTTCGTGTTTCTTGCGCCAATTATTCTTCTTTAAACCAGCCGTCATGCCGCTAGCAGCAGCAGCACTGGAGTATGCGGATTTGGTGCTACTTCGAGTTTGTGCTTTCTTGATAAACTTTTCTGCGTCAGTGCCGCGCAAACGATGTCGCGCCGCATCGAAAATTTTGCGCTTAGTATGTGCCATTTTCTCGCATACTACCTCGTGCTTAGCAATTCGATCCGTATTGAAATGGCGATTACAATAGCGGCAGACACCCGTATTTCCTGTGTCCACATCAGCGTTGGGGGGCATTCTGGTGGTCTGTGGAAGAGAAAAGCATGCTCATGTGGCATATTGAAATCGTGCGGACATTTACAGACACAACTTACATTCGAAGCCATATTTCCCGATGTTCTTCGTGGCGGTGTCTAAAAGTCAGTTAGAATAATATTAACGGAGAATTTTTTTTAAATAATTAATGAAATATCGATAAATGTCATTTGAAAAATTCAAAGCGGACGCATTAGCATCTTCAAAAACACAAAAATAAATGTTGTCTACCTTCAATGAAACTACTGCAGTACGTTTGATAGTTTTTGTCGCGGAGCTGGTCCTAGGCGCTGGTGTGACACGTGTCGCAGTCGTTGGTGTGGTATTTGCTGGACGCTTAGCAACATGTGTTGACGTCACCGGCGATGGTGATTTCTTGGTCACAACGGGATTTAGCTTGAGACTGTTCGATGATTTCGCGCGTCCCAATACATCGTTGTTGTTGATGCGCTCATCGGGCGAGTGCAAACCCAAACTAAGCGACGACATTTCCTTAGTAAGCGTATCAGTATTACCATTCTGTAGCCGTTTTGGTGGGTTTCGCACGTGCGTTGAACCAGTGGATACATTGGTCGTACCACGCATGCGAACCGACGTTGTATTGCCATTTTTCGTTTGGTGTAGATTGTGTATAGCGCCACCGGTCTGACGTAAAACAGGCGACGTGCCTTTGGCCGTTGAGGTGATTGGCTTCAGTGGATTGGCGCGATCAATACCTGCGCCTCGACGTCGCTCATCGAACATTTGACGCACCTGTGACAACACAAGCAAATATGGACGCAAATATGTTTTATTGTATAGTTTGTCAGATCATTATGAACTGCTTACCTTCCCGTTCGTAACGCGTTTGGTGTCGACAACTTCCTCTGAGTTGCTGGCGCTCTCATCAGTCATCTCCAGCCGTCGTTGTTGACGCTCCTGTTGCTGTTTCTGTTGAAAACGCATCTGCAAAAATATAGAAACAAAACAAATTTGACAATTTTTCAAATAAAAAACAAAAATGTATTGAAAATGTTCAACAACTTCTTTCGGCCGTCTCTAAACGTAAGTGGTTTTTCACCTCAAACGACATTAAAATTGTTCATTTCGTATGCGATGCGGCGCAGTGAGAGCACCCTAATCGATTTTGGTAAAACTCACATCAAACGTTGAGTTCAAATCTGCTGGTGGCAAATGGCTAAGCGCCTCAACTAATCTGCGTCCCGCCCATGATTCGCTTAGTTTAACTGGTGGTATGGTTTGATCGTGTAACAGCTCATTATTCGGACTCATTGTCGTCATGTTGTGGTTGTTGCAACAAAAAATTCTCCAGCTTTACAGCAGGTAAAGTAAATGATACTAAATGTTCCTATACACTCTACTTCTATATAATATAGTACTTCTATATAATATAGACTAGTTGTGCGCGTTTGAATGGAATCGCCGCTTTGTATAAGTACCATGTCCTTCCGCTGATGGACAAAACAATACTAAACATGTGGACAACGGAGTCGATTGCTGTCTCTCACTGTCAAATGGAAAAGCGAAAACATTTACCCGACTGAACTCATTACTCACACGTTATTTGGTCAGCAAGAAGCCAATTGGCTCCCCACCCACTCTCAGCAGCGGTCATCCTTCGTAGAAATGTATGGTAATTAACAACAACAAATTGTGTAAAAATAACAAGCAAATCAGACATGCATACATTACACGTGCCACACACACACGTGCGTGCATATACCACCCAATTACTTACATTACGGCCGTACTTGCGTTCCTTGAGCGCGCAACGGAAACGCACCAGCGAAATTGTCAAGCTCTGTGATTCCGTTTTGTCGACACTACCACCACTCACTCATGTCACACTAAAGCAGGCATCAATATAATAACAATAACAATGACAACAGCACTTGAGAATATTTAAGACAATTAACGGTAAGCGAATCAAGCTTTTATTGTGTTTATTTTAGTTTGCTTTTTGTAAATATTTTTTTTTTTCGTTTGCATGAGCACAAAATTATCCATACGAGTGCTCCTCAAAGCTGTTTTGGCCTTCAAGGAATCGGGCATTAGCACGCCGCAATCAATTGATGTACATTCTTATAAGCACTTAAGTGTGTGTGTACACATGCATGTATGTATGTGCACGTAGTACCTCGACCTTCTGTCAATCGATAAAATGCTTTGTGGCGCTTTGAAGAAAGCTATTTAGCGTATGAAAATTGGAAATCTAAACACAAAAGCACCACACTTATCCCTACATATGTATGTATGCACCTACTTAAGTGAATGCATTGTACTTGTGCATACTTAACGTGTACTTATTCCGGCCAGCGATGTCAATTGAAAGTACACTCACACACACACATGTATGTTTACATGTGTATTAATATTTATGGTAGATATGTGCGTTGTCATGGTTGAGCGTTGTATATGGCCCACTCTAATGAGTCCCACGTTGTCATTGGCGCGCTTACACACCTACAGACATACAAAACACATACCAACTGCATTCAAACGTGCTGTGTGGAATAAACAACATTTCATTATTTGAATTTTTGTTTGTTTATTTTTCTATTAAAACCCAAAATAGACACTTAATTTGATTAAAAAGTGCAATTTTCGCAATTCGTAATTGAGTAGTAAGCTAAAGCATTTACATTTTAGGGTCTAAGATTGTTTTTGTTATTGTAGCGAAAAGGAAGATCAACGATCTAATCAGGGTCTAAGGTATTCGAAAGTGTTGTGAAATTATTTTCGCTAACAGAGTTTGTCCAAATATATGCTAATTTTTTTCGGAGGACTTCGTGGAAATCGGCTACGGAAGGGCAAGTGATTCCAAAAATTTTCGAAATTATTCACCGATTTTTAAGTTCTGTAAATTGTATATTATTTGCCGCCACAAAAAAACAACGCGGAAACTGTTTTTTCTGAGTTACAAGTGTATATAACCCTTTAAAGATAAATTTATAAAAAAAAATAATAATAATAATTCGCTATTCAGCATAGTTAGTATACAAAACTACTAAGACAAGATATGTTGTTTGGTCAAATGTGCGCAGATTTTTTCGGATGAAATTCACCAGTTTCTTGCGGCATGAATAAATAATTTTATTTAAATAACATGCTTTCTAGAACAGTGGACTAAAAACCATATGTAATTTACTAAAACTGTATAATTTTATACCTACGGTTCCAACAACAGAACATGCTTGTAGTGTTCAGTGGAAAACATTTTGGTTAATCATTGTAGCTTTAACTCATTAATTTTTAATTTATTTCAAAATATTAAACTGAAACTTATTTTTAATAATTTTATTTATTTTATTTTTTTTTTGCTATTTGCCTTGGCTCTCTTTTGGTACAAATAATTACCTACAGGACTACTCATAACTCTAATTATTTGTGACGCTGCGCTTAATTGGACTCTTGTTGACCAAAGGCTCGCGTCTATGCACTCAAGTTCGTAATGGAGATAGTTTGCTTGTGTAAAAGCAGGGGAAATTTTTGGTTTTGTTTTAGTAATGACATTGCCATTCATAAATTGTATCAAACTTAGCATCAGTTATATGGAAATTTTTATTCCTATGTCTGACACTGATGGGCATAGATATAAATAACTTCGATAAGCCATTCGATTTTAATAAGAACTTGACCTTGAATAATATCTATTCATTATGCCTAATAAACGAGTGTAGTTACCATATATTGTTGGCAACATAAAAACATTTTTATTTTTTTGAAGTAATTGGTATTTCATTGATTGACTGCTACTGTATCCGAACCATAAAGACTATACACATTTTAAGCCGTCTCGTTTGCTAAGATAATTGTAAAATGTGGCTTATTTGCACTTTAATGGTATACATCCTTGACGCGTACTCACACAATAGTGAGTCAAGCAATCACAAAATAGTCTGCGAAGTTTTTTTAGTACGAAATCTTATTTTTCTAACGCCATACAGCGTAAACTGATCGCACTTATACAATGCGAGATACCAACTACTAAAGCCGTCTTTTTGATAAAGGATTTTTTTACTATTCATATCTTTGTAATCAGTACACGTACTCATGTTACAACAAATTATTTCCTACTAGATCCATATAAAGAATATATTTTATATATATTCTAATTCTTAGTTATGAAATTACGACGACGCGTGGTTCTTACTTCTGCATCATTAATTCTTCTTGCCTACAATTATTCTTGCGTTTCCGTTGCTCTTCTAGCTTCCTGCTGCTAAGCTTGTCTTTTCGAACGTACTCGTGCCTGATGAGAAGTTTCAGCTGCTCTCAAAACACGTTGTCGATCTGCTTGCTGTTGCCTTCTCAGCTCTGCTTGAACTTCACATTCTTTATTTCGTGTAACTTTAGCCTTACGCACCGGCGTAGAATTTCTTGACAGATTGACCGATTTCCGCTTTCGAGGCATTTTTTTATTTAATAAGAGTAACTAATAATATTTGTGTTATTTCTCTGATTTACGTTTTTTATACATTTATGTTTTCTTTCATTTTTTAATTTTTCGACAAACAATCATTTCTGCCAAACTTTTTTTTTTCAATTTCAAAATTTTCAAATTTATTTTCCAAACATATATAATCTTCCAAAATAATTTTTTTAATAATCCGTAAAAAATTTATAAATTTTGTAATAAAAAGTATCCTATGTTCATTCTGACACCTCTAAGAGTATATGTACAAAATTTCATGATGATCTGTTAAGTAGTTTTTGCGTGAAAGCTTAACAAACAAACGGACTTTCGCATTTATAATATTATATAGTATAGATAGTGCCTGAATCTGCGAAGCAATATCTTTTTAATTATATGAGAAAACCTATCTGAAAATATATACCGTTATATAGTGGAGGTAGTATTAAATACAAGTCTGGCCAAAGGAACTTAAAAATTAAAAAAAAAGTATTTATCTAATCCGTTAGCTAATTTGCAATCGGATTCTCAGCCTTCAAGACATCCAAGACGAAGTTGACTGGAAAATGCTTGAATCTAGCTTAGATATGATTAGCTGTGCTAAAGATGGACTAAAATCAATATAAGCTAGCATGATCTGATTAGTTATTGGTCGACAGACAGTGGAAATCATGCGATCAACTAGTTCCAGATCATCTAGTTAAAGTAATTTTTTCTTATGGAATGTCTAGCTTAGTAAAGGTTTCAATACCGTCGGTTAATTGCTTATATCTCCAAATATGGTATCAGAACATGGGGAATTTATTCAACTCTTCTACGGATAAGTCAGTTGGTTGCTCGAATATAGTTCCACCTCTTTTTATCTGAAGAGGCAATTGAGATTTTTTGTGTGAGAAGCTCATGATAATGTTATAAAATTGTTAAACAATAATTAACAAGAAAAACCGTTAGCCGATTTAGACATGTTTGACTATATATACATATATATATATATATTTAGTTGCTCACAACTATATATATATACAAGTATTGTATATTATATATGTATATATATCTCTTCAGGTAAAACTAAAGATATCGAATAAAATAAACTTCATTTGTCTCAATTTCTACATTATGCCCTCAACTTCAATTCAAATAATGAGTTACGCAACTCATTAATAAGCGGGGCACTGTTGCACACCTACAAGTGTTTTACGACCGTGCAAGGTTGTCTGTGCTTCACATCCGCAAATACATGTGTAAATATGTATGCATGTGACGATTAGAGCTTAATCCGCGACAGCTAAACATATGTGTGCACGCATATAAGCTACCTTTACCCATTTAAGGAAAACCTCACAGACAGCCTGTTATTTTACCATTATGTATGTATATATATCAGCTGCTGCAAATCTGTGTAGGTCTACCGAGATTTTCCGAAAAAGGTATAATTTTAATTAAATTCGAGAGTGATTCATCGCCACAATGAACTCATAAAGTGAGCAACTAGCCAGCAACAACGATTTCAGAGCTTAACGGCTTTTAGTTGAAATTTTGAATAGCGCAAATAGTGCTCCTATATACATATATTTGTATACATATATACATATGATAGATGTGCAAACAAATACACAAGTGTGTGCCGCCTAACTAAGATGCTGGAAATTGCAAAACAAATCAAATTAGGTAATAACTCTAAAGATAGCTTCATAATTGTCAAAGCAAATAAAGTGGCAAATGCATAAATCTAAACGAACGCTAAAAGCCACATTTAGTAAATACATTCAAAATTTCTATATATATTTATATAGGCACACACTTCTATGAACACCCACTGAATGAGCGATGCCTCACAGTATTTCGTTTAGATAAATTAGCGAAATAAAAAATTGAATTACTACTTTGTTAATAAACACAAAATTCAATTGAATTTAATATAAATTGTAGAATTGTGAAATTGTAAATGATTAAACATATCAATATATTATATAACATCCACTATCTTAGTTTTTTACAAATATTGCCTACCTTTAAGCGAACCATTAATTGTAATAAACCTTTTTTATTAAATTAACTTTAATTGAATTTCAATTTTTCTCTCATTATATAAATCTTCTTAAATTTTTATTATTTCTTTTTGTTATTCTTATTTTCTTTAATACGCATGCCAAAAAACATCTGCGCCTACATACATTTGGCGTTCCCTTATAAGGTGGTGAAATTTTGCGTTGTTTCTTCTTAGAGTGGTGTAGTTTGTTGAATTCGAGTATCATGAGGAGAAGGTTCCTTTTTAACGTGGTGTAATTGAACTTTCGAATTTGCGCATTTTCGATGTTCCCTTTAAATAATTTACATTTTAGCACAGCTAACATTTGCGCCTTTTCTATTTATTAACATTCTCTGCTTATTGCGCTATGTTCACTTCTTTACAATAACTGTCAAATATTTTAAATAATTTTCTTATTGGCCAGTGAAAATGAATTTGTTTAATTTCCTGTTACATTTATTTTAATTCCTGATTTACCCAGGCTAAGAGTGGGTTTATTAGGAATTTGGAGTTAGAATAGATCCCAGGGATACAATAGACCTCAGGAAATAGTGATATTTAGAATAGACGAGAATATGCTTCGACAATACTAATATATTTCAGTCATTCTTGAAATAATATACTCCTCTCCGAAAGCAGAGAAGTATTATATTTCGTTGCGTACTTTATCAGTTGTAGATATATGCATTCTAGTATCCAATGCTAATTATGTGTGGAGTACTTTTATGTGCGTAATAACGGGAACATGCGTTGCTAATGCCTATCTTGTATCATTTTAACTGATTTAGAGATTGATTTGGATAAATATTAAACGCAATTTATGAGATCTTAGCAACGAACAAAGAACAAAAAAGTGGTAAAATTCACAGATATCTTATTGGGGACCACATGATCAATAAGTCAACATTAAAATATGTCTGGTATAGCGATCTTCTCATAGCTATGTTTAGAATACACTACTAAAGTCTGAACTGGTTATAGGAATTCTTCCAGGGGAAATGACTTCAAAGAAAAAAGTCAGAAAGCTTCCATAGATCATACTCTGTTCATTTCTTACGTGAAAAAAAATATCTTCTTATACCGTGAACAGGGTATATTAAGTTTGTAGCACCCAGAGGGAAACGTCGGAGATCTTATAAAGTATATTTTGGAAAAGATTAGCGTGACAATCTTAGTCAATTTAGTCATGTCCATCTGTTTGTAAATACGCGAACTAGTACCTCAGTTTTTGAGATATATCCAAGAAGCTGCTCTTTTAGCTATTACCTACTGCTACCATACAAACTGAGCGCTTATAATCATGTCGTTGCATAGAAAACTTTTTTTATTTGACAAGATGTCTCCACGATATTTGGCATTAATTATAGTAGCTTTGTACAAAGCTACAATTCCCGAACAAATTGTTGAGATAAAGCCACTATAGCTATAGCTACCATTCAAACTAGCCAACTCTACTTGAAGGTTCTTTATATCAAACAAAATGGCTAGAAAGAACTAGCAAAAGGTTTTCCGTTGGATGCAAACCGTTGGCCGCTTAAATTTTCAGATTTAGTTATACATATAATTTCTATAAGAAGTTTACTTGTGAAGAATATTATTGCTTTTGTGCAGGAGAAGATAGCGCAAACGGTCGGTTTATTTGAATTCAATACACTTAATAAATATATGCATATGAACTTTAAATGTGTTCCATTTTGTTGACGTGCCGCATCGCACCTTGTGAGACATGCATACGAGTTTTCCCGACCCTGACACTTTCGTCGCTCCTTTAAATGAGTTTATGTCAACAAAAGTGATATTACATAATTTTCAGTGCTTATATGTACATTAGCAGCCAGATTAATATATATTCTAATTTATGCAAATGTATGCATGTAAGTGTGTATGTGCTAAGGCAACAGTAAGAACAGCGAACACTCACCTGCATCTGAGCCAGCCTTGAGTTGGCTGCTGCGACACCTTGTGACGCCATCGCCAAATATGATTTGCTCCGGCTAATAATCCAAACGCGGCTAACAAAAAGCGGTTACGAAGACGAAAACGAAACTACTGCGCGACTGCGACGACGACAAACCAAAACAATGAGGTGAAGCTAATTTGTTATTGCCGACGCTGCTCTTGTCAATTTAATACTTGTTTTCTATTATTTAAATTTGTTTCCCTCTGTTGATTATTAAACGCGTTGCGTCAGTCGCTGTTGTTGTGGCGCGCGCGCGCCAAAGGCAGCACCAACTGTTGCCAGCACCGCGACAGCACTTTAAAGGAAGCGTGTGGGCTAGCTAAGCTTGCAGCAGCCGCGTATGTCGCCTCGTTTGCTGACAGCGGCGTGTATAACTTATTTGCCGCGAGCGCAAGCGTCCCACAGCTGTTTAACTGCTAATGATTTAAACACAAGCGCAATCAATTGTTGGCGGCAGACGTTTGTGGCCCGCGTACTTCGCCGCGCTGGTGACGTGTCGTCGAATGATTCACGTGTCTTAACAGTAGCGCTGATTGGAGCAAAGCGCCTGTTATTATTATTGTTACAAAAGTATTATGGTTCGTTGTACTGCTGTCAAGCGATCTCTATGCGTTTGTAAAACGCTTCGTTTATTTGTTGTTTGCCACTATAAACGCGCCTGGTCGCTTACCTAATGTTGCTGCTGACACTTTGGGGTGTTGCAATTTTTCTTCCAATTCACTGTCACTGCCGCTGGTAATAACTGTTATTAACTTTTCTAAATATTTCGCGTTGCTGATGCGATCAACGAACGTCGACGCGCTGGAACACTTGAAATTTGTGTAAATATTTTTATTAAGGTAATTTTTTTCAGCGTAGTTTGTATTTTTTTTAATCACTTTACTTGGAACTCTTTTCAAGTTGATCTGTGGGTCATTAAATTCTGTAAAATAAATTTAAAAAAAAAAAAATTATTTAATTAAATTGCTTTGACAAAATTAATTCTAGCCAAAAAAGGGCGAGGAAACCACAAAAAACGCCGGTTAAGGCCGCTACTAGCAATTGGCACAATTTTCAAATATGTAAGTCAAATAAGTTGTTAATTTTTGTTGTTGCGGTAGTTACGTGCACGACGCCCACACACAAGAAACTCTAAATTGCATCAATACAATTGTAATTTAATTTATAATTCACGGCCACTTGCCCAAAATTAGGCAAAGCTACAACAAAAATAAACACACAGTAACAGCCAAAAGCCGCTCGCAAGCCCCTGAGTTATTACATATTCTTCCGTTCTCCAACTTACGCGCTTGCAGATGCTCATTATACCCACTTTTAAATACTATACTTACATCTGTTTACTCACAAGCAAATTTTTATAATTTTTTTTTTCTGTTTTGCAAATGTATTTTTTTTTTGGTTTTTTTTTTTTGAAAAATAAACACGTCAAAAACGTCGTAGTAAAACTTAAATAAGAAATGTGTACAAAGTAATAACAATTAATCGAAAATGTATGATAAATCTTTTATTGCCAGTTTTCAGTTTGTAGTATTACTCACATAAAAAATTATGCGTATAAAAATGCCGTAAGTTTTTTATTAAGTGAATACTAGTTAATGTCTTCAAAAATACTTATGAATATTTATAAATGTGAACAGTGGGCTTGAGAACGTCAATTTCATATTGCTTTCAAAAGTAATACAGGCTGTTTTGGAAAGTAAGATTATGTTATGCATTTTTTGAGGTTGTTCCATGACTCTGGAAGCCTCATAAAATGTTTTGATGATGATGGTATGACTATGATAATACAAAATAAAACTAGTGTAATAACCAATATGGATTCTTCGCTACATGGCATTGCAAAAGCTAGGTACAAGCTAGGTACTCGAGAAAGTTAGTTTGGTGAAAGCAACTTGAGGGAACAACTGAAGTAAAAACGAAAGATGATGAAGAATATATACTGAAAGTGTTGGGTAAACAAGCATGCCAAAACTTTTTCGTTTAAAATCAAGTAAACCGTTACATATTGGTAAACTCAAATTATTGTGCGGAGCATAGATTCTAGTTGAAAGCAATAATTTATACTCGTAAGTAAAAGACAACAGGAGAGGTCACTCGGTTTCAAGATATTTATCTTTCCGATCAAATCTCATTAATTTTTAATACAGAAACGAGGTTAATTGTAACAACAGAAATATAATATATAATGGTCTTCGTAAAAGTATTTACCGAGTCTTGCATATTCTCGTTTAAGTGCTGGAAAACGTTTATGAGCTCAGGTTTCCTAAAGGGTTATGCGATAAAAGTTGGTATTATGACGTTCTATTTTGAGTTAGACGTTCCACATTATGGATTAGACCACTACCACTGGGATTTTTTCTGTGAACCCATTAGGTGTTTAATCCACTACTTGCCAAGATTTTAACAGAAATTCCTCTTTTTATTTGATAAAGTTTTATATGCAAAAAACACTGACTAATAATCATCGTAGTCTCTAATAGAATATCTCAAGTCTTGGAACACTAGCAACACTGGACATGCCACAAAAGCACTTTGGGGTAGCGTTGATGGTGGACAGCTAGAAGATTACATTTGTGAATGCCCAGCCTTTAACTGGTTAAGACGGGATATCATCTACGGCTCCCAATATTCCCACTTAAAAGAAAAGACATTATTCGTTTACTTTTAGAAAATTTCACGAATTTTGCGAAAAGTAGTATTACCTTACTTTAGGTACAGGCATATTACTTATAGATTTGAGATTTAGTAATGCTAAGAACAAAAAAGCGATTCACTTAAAAAAAATTGTATATCTAATCCCATGATAATAACTTGAAGATGATTATTTTGAACCTTGGATCTTTATATCAAAACTTCTCTATTACCCAGGTCAGGGGTACCAGGTGATAATCTTGACACATAAAATTTATTTAATATTCTTAAATATTGAGAGCTATTGAAACAAGGAAACATAGAAAATTCCCAGCACCATATGATATAATGACTATTCTTTATTTAATGTGCATATTTCGTTGAAGAGCTTTTTGTCAGCCTTTTACTGCACACTGTTGCTTTACTCCTTCCTTTTCACATTGTCTCGGCAGAGTTGACGTAATTGCAGGAACTTACTTTGCGACTGCTGGTATTCCCTGCAGGGTTCGGATTGTAATATTTTATGCAGATTATTGCTGTTTCTTTTCCTGCTTATTAACACACACACACACCCGTGATTGCGTGTCCTGTAAGGTGTGGTTTGAGGCTCGTCGCCGAGTGGTCAATGTCTTACATTTGTATTGTTTTCATTTGTCGACGCACAGTGCAAGACCTCGACAGCACATTTAGCGGCTAAAAACGTTCCCACAACTATCGTATATACACTGAGGTGCGGTTTTATTACTACTTAGATGAGTTTATTGACTTAAATGCACGCTTAGGGACACTAGCATATATACCATATGTATTGTATTGGAATGTATTTATGTAAATACAACGCTTGCCGGCATTACACACAGGACGTGACCGCATTCGTGGGGATTGCCTGTGTGCGTCTATTTTGTTTTCACAACACTGATAGCTTCGCGGTTTTTCTGCTTTGTTGTGACGCTGCCGAGTGCAAAGCATTACACACACAATACTAATTTGCAACAAAAAATAATAAAAAAAAAATCGCGAGCAAAACACGCTCCTTCTCCTCCATATGCTGCACACGTACGAAGGCAGGTAATGTTTGTGTTAACGCGTGTGTGTGTGTGTATGTTTGTAAGCATGTGTGCTTGCACGTTGAAAGCGATTACGTGTCCTCCAATCAAGCGGCCGGTATTCGAAGGTGTTTGAGGAGGTGTGATGGCATTCCAACAACTTTCGAAAGTAGTTAGTGAATAAACGTAGTTATATTTGTATAAAATACGTACACTTCTTCTTATAGACAGTTCATTTATACTTTCAAACTCGAAAACCACAACAACACCAATAATCAAAGCAAAAATTATAACAATTGCAGATGATTTCAACAAATAAGCGAAGCAAACGCGCGACTTAGCTTGAACGCAGGCATTCCGAATATTATAATAGTCATCACAATAACAACAACAAAGAAAAAATTGAGAATTTTGAAAAGAAAAAATTTACGTTACTCACCATATGTATGACCGTTGTTGTCTGTTGTCTTCTTCGTGCCTTTCAAGTGTTTCGCCGTTCCTTTGCCGCCCTTCAATATTTTATAATTTAAACAAAAAAAATTTTATTTCTTATTTATTGTCTGAGTATTATTAGGTAGTTACTTTGTTGCTTTGAATCTAGCTACATTTATCATTCTTTTATTTTTTTTTTTTTGTCTTTGTTGCTATTGCTTGTTTTTATTCGTTATGTTATAGCTGACCAGCGCAGCGCGTCGCGTCTAATACACGTTACAAAAGTATAAAATTCAAACTGTGAAACTGCAGCAAAACCCTCTACTATTTGCTTAGAAGTTTGTGCGAAGACTGTCGAGAGTATTGCTTGCGAAAAGTTTTCTAGCCGATTTTACACAGCTCGAACGCTCCACAACAGAGCCGGCGGCACAAGCAGCTCCCGCTCCGCACACATACACACACACACACACATGCATGTATGTAAGTGGCAGCGCCGCTGCACTGTTCGCCAAAGCTAGCCGCGCCAACTGCCAGCTGAACTGGCTTCAAGCAAACACTTAGCAACTTTGCTTGCTCACAGACTCGACTCGACGTTGCTCGCATCGCGTGAGTGTGGGCTTACCCCACTGCGCTGGGATGGACGACGATACAACTACAAAAAAACAAAAAAATGGAATTTTTTGAATTAGTCAGTGGCGAATGAAGTTAAAACAATAAAAAACACAAAGTTTCAAATAAGTTAAAGGGAACGAGTTGACGCAAAGAAGAGATAGGGAGAAGCGAGTAATATTATGCATAATTGTGTATGATGTTTGAGACAAGCGAATGCCTTAATTCACCACAAATTCCATAGCGGCAATTCACCGCCGCAATGTGCGCACACACTGATGCAAGCGCACATAAATAGGCGCTGATGTAGTTTAGGTAGGCGCGGCCCTTGGCGCGCTGGAGCGTCGTGGCGCTCTGAGGCTTTCTGTGCAGGTTACGTGCCTTCTTTAAGTGTTTTATTGTGCTGTTGGTTGTAGGGCATCATCCATTAAGCAACTTTTAGCTTCTGCATGGCAAAATCACTTGACTTCAATTAGTTGAGACGTTGCAAGTGTCGGTGAGCATGCGCGGCATCAACAAATATGCCGGAACAAACATTATTGCAAATCAATTTGTCAAAGTTAATTTATATACAAGTTGTCTGCTCAATTAAACGCTTATTGAGGGTGCCAGCAGTACGAACTGGGTTCAGTTTAGATATTCGGAAAATGTTCAAGTATTTTTAAATTTTATTGTTTAAACAGTGATGTAGCGTTCGGCGAAATCTCCCTTTCGAAAGATCTCTAGTAACTATTAAAGACTAACTTTTATCGCCTCAGTTTATTGTGTCGATTTGCATGCTTTTGTAAGATTTTTTTGTAACCACTATTATTTTAAGTGACATTTTAAATAGTAATAAAATAAAAGAATGAAAATCCACAGAATTTAATGTACTCTAGTAACCGGCGATTCATTTTGAAAAATTTTAGATTCCTTTATCCAGCACCCGATTTCCAACAAGACCTCCAAAACAAAGTGTCTGGCTGTGAGGAATTCTGCTTAAAATTTTCTCAAATACAAAAACTAAAAAATTTAGTTATTATAATATGTGAATACAGCTAATGATCGAAGGACTAGTCAAAATTTTGATTTTTGACAAAATGCGGATTCCCAAAAAAATGGATATTAGTGAAAAATTTTCACTTCAGACTGTCTTTAAAAATTGAAATTATTGTCAAAAATGTTATTCCTTCGATCATTACCTGACAAATATAGCTGAGAAGGTAGTGTTAAATCTTCAAGTCAATTAGTTTTGCCGTTTCGGAAAAATTTTTCTCACCGACTCTGATATCAATGTTTGGAAGAAAACGCGTATAAAGATTTGGGAGTTAATTGCACCAAGTTGGAAATTAAATGAAATAATTAAATTGGCAAACATTGTTTCGCTTTGTCAAAATACATCTGTTAGATTTTACAATTCTTACGTAATTAGCGAAGCACATTTATGATTTGAAGGAGCAATCGGACAACTACAAAACAAGGGAATTAATTACCTTTCTCTTAAGTTCCATTCAATCGCACTTATCATTACCAGATGCATTGTACCTAGTTGATTACATAGTACATATGCCCATATGGACTTAAGTATTTGAAGATATACTCGTATGCAGATAGCTATAAAGACATTCACTTTACATACAAATATGAAGTTTGCTACTCAAGAGTGGCGAAGAACTCCACAAGTGCAGCCAAATGGAAAATTACAACCGCATTTAATTGTTGCAATGAAGACGCAGCTGGCTGCCAGCAACTAAGTCAGCAATTTTGCATTATAAAACTGACTGAAGAACAATTGTAATGACCAGTGAAGAGACAGCAAAGTTCTTCGATCGGTACACGAACTGTGAATACGAGGGATAGTTTTTGAAGTTCGTAGACTGTGTATCTTCAGTTTGTAACATCTTTATACATTCTTCCAAAGGTGTGTTCCAAAGTTAACAGGACTTTAAAAAAAAAAGACAGAACAAATGGTTTTTGTTACTTTTTACTGTTTACTTTGGAACGCACCTTGTATTCTTCCCGAAGACAGGTTCCAAATGTTTCGATTATTTTGTGTATATCTTTGATTTTTTTACGTTGCAAAAGTTTCTTCTATATTTGGCATAAAAAATACTTATTTATCTAGAATATGATGGGATGTTTATTCAACGCTACAAGAATCTTGTGAGCATTCTCAATTGAATTATAAATTCTTATACCCTAAATAGTAGGGTGGGCCAAAAAAAAAAAATAATATAATTTTTTCCTTAGCTTCCGGAAAAATATCGTCCGAAATGAGGAAGAAAAATGCTGGTAAAATTTGAGCTCTCAATACTAACAGTAACAAGTGGCGCAAATTTCGAAAATTAAAAGTTTTTTTTTAGCAACTCCACGTTATAGGGTATTTAAAGTTTGCCGTGAAATTTGTAACACCACCCAGTAGGAAACGTCGAAACCCCTACAAAATGTATATGTATATACTTAAATGATCAGCGTAACGAGCTGAATCGATTTTTCCATGTCGATCAGTTCGTTGTCCGTATATGCGTGAACTAGTCTTTCATTTTTAATATATCGATCTGAAATGTTTTTTCTCCTCAAGAAGCTGCTCATTTGTCCGCCATACAAACTGATCGATCAAAATTAAATTATTGACTGAAAACTTTTATTTGTGAAATTTAACGTCACCTAACGGTTGTTTGTATCACCTGAAGCTAATCGAGTTAGATATATATATATTATATATAAATGATCAGAATGATGAGACGAGTTGAAATCCGAGTGACTGTCTGTCCGTCCGTCTGTGCAACCGATGAGTAAAAATAAGATATCTTAATGAAACTTGGTACACGTGTTCCTTGGCACCCATTGCAAATAAGCAGAATTGGCCCTTTGCCACGACCACAAAATGCCGTTAAGCGAAAACGTATAAAGTGCTATAAATAAGCACTAAATGAAGAAACAAAACTGTAATTTGGTACAATGGATTCCTTTCAACCAATTCCACATGATTTTTTCACTTTACAGTATACAAATCAAACATCAATTAAGTTATCAGAATAAACCTTTGCCCAAATAGTGTTTTCAAGGTAATTCATCGAACGCCCAAAAATTGTCGAAATCGGACTATAAATTTTCAAGGACCTACACACCAAATATGTAGACCTCAGTGCATATGGCTGTGAAATCTATTTTTGAAATTCGGGGCGACTATTTTTTTGATGACAACATGACCTTGTGCCAAAAATGGGGGGAATCGGGTCAATACTTCCCTTAGCCCTCATATATAATAGCTAGTATAAATGTTCTCTAACTTCCGGTTGAATTTATACCGTTTCTATTGATGAATATGTAAGAAATCTTAATGCAATTTAGAAAAAATCTCTCTCTAATAACAGTGTATCCTTTTACCTAAAATGGATGAAAGCAGAATTCCCTGATACTTAATATTCGGATTTTTAAACATCGTCCCGATTTTATATATATACACATACATTACATATATTGGTCAACCCGTGAGGTTTCCTAATTTGCAAATTGCGAAAGTATAAAATCTTCAGTTACACCCGAACATAGCCCTTCCTTACTTGTTTCTTGTCATTTTTTTTAATATTTTGAGTATTTACTAGAGTTATTCGAATGCGAACTGAAGACACTTGTTATACTTGAGAAAGAGGTTTGCCATTAAACAAACTTAAGAACATACCCTCGTAAATTAAAAAGGAAGTAAACTGCATTATAGTGTACATGTGTTTGGTTGTGTTTATATCTGTCTTCACTTCTTTTCCTTTGTTATTATTTTTGATTTTTGTTCTCTAGTTTTTATTGTTATTTCTTCTTATTGCACACTTTTGCCATAATCTTTAGCCGAGTGCTTCGTATGAGCTTTTATGAGCGATTCGGAAGATCTTACCCATTGTAGCAGCAACACATAAACATTCGGAATATATATGGTAGACACTGGTTATAACTATGTACAATATATAAATATGAATTTATAACCGCATACTCATGTTCTTATGTATATATTTAAAATATCTGTCGAATTTGTTGGTTTATAAGTTTTGCAGGAATGTGAAGGCATAAAGCAAGTAAAATCAACAAAGCTGAAAGGGAAAAAGTTGCCGCAAGTAAAGTTTATATCATTATGTGCATTGATTTAAGCTCGAAAGTTGGCGAATTAATAGTTGCTACAGAATACGTGTAGTTTTTCTTTCCAAAAGCTACATAAACGCGGTATATAGTATGCATGTGTATTTATATATGTATATTGACTCATATATATTTCTAGTGTAAAAGTACAAACTGAACTTGATTTTTGCGCCTGCGCCCAGCTTTGTTGCAGTAGGCCACGCTATATACCTAAGTACCATATATATGTATATACTTATATAATTCTACGTGTAGGCGTTCATGATAGCATTGCTCGCCTTACTGTAGTTGTTAATTGAAACACTGTCATAAATAGCGCTCGTGTTTTTTGTATTGTCAGTAGTAATACCGTACATAATTTTTAGTATTATACCTTCAGACTTAACAAGGTCCCTTTTTAATAGTTCAACAAATCATACAAATTTATTTTATATATATTGTACATATATACTCTTTATTTGTTTTCACGTGGTTCAGAGTTTTTTGTTTTCGATTTTTATCTCTGTCATAATAAGACTAAAATGTGAAATTTACGGGTTTTCACGTGTCGGTCTTAGGACCTCTTTCTAAAACACATTAACTCTTACTTCTCCTCATCGACTGTCGGACAATTTTTATACTCTCGCAACCTGTTGCTACAGAGTATAATAGTTTTGTTCACCTAACGGTTGTTTGTATCACCTAAAACTAATCGAGTTAGATATAGGGTTATATATATATAAATGATCAGGATGAAGAGACGAGTTGAAATCCGGGTGACTATCTGTCCGTCCGCCCGTCCGTGCAAGGTCTTACTTGAGTAGAAATTGAGATATCTTTATGAAACTTGGTAGACATGTTTCTCGGTACCGTGAGACGGTTGGTATTGCAGATGGGCATAATCGGACCACTGCCACGCCCACAAAACGCCATTAATCAAACACAAATAAATTGCCATAACTAAGCTCCGCAATAAGACACAAGACTGTTATTTGGTGAACAGGATCACATTAGGGAGGGGCATCTGCAGTTAAAATTTTTTTTTAAAGTGGGCGTGGTCCCGCACTTAATAGGTTTAATGTGCATATCTCCTAAAACGCTAATGCTAAAACAACAAAATTCACTGGATAAATATTTTTAGAACCTCTACCTACAGTGTGAAAATAGTTGAAATCGGGTGGCAACTCCGCCCACTCCCCATATAACGGTACTGTTAAAAACTACTAAAAGCGCGATAAATCAAGCACTAAACACGCCAAAGACATATTAAATTTTATCTCTGGGATGGTATGAGATGACTTAAAGGAACCGCGTTCAAAATTAGTCAGTGGGCGTGGCACCGCCCAATTTTAGGTAAAAACCCATATTTTAAGATCTGCTTAACCGATTTCAACCAAATTCGGTATGCAACATTATTTTAATATTTCTATATTATAGTGCGAAAATGGGCGAAATCGGATTACAACCACGCCTATTTTCCATATAACACCATTTTAAATTTCATCTTATTTTTCACTTTCCAGTATGCAAATCAAGCAAGAATGATTATATCGGGGTAAAACTTTGCGTGAATAATACGTTTAAAGTATGCCACCTTGTGACCAAAAATTGTCTAAATCGAACCAAAACTGTTCAAGCCCCTAAGTACTGAATGTGTGGACCCCAGTGCCTATAGTTGACCTTCTACCGAAAATATCAGCCAATCCACAAAGAAATCTCAAACGAGTATACCATTCGACTTTGCGAGAGTATAAAATGCTCGGTTACATCCGAACTAAGCCCTTCCTTACTTGTTTTGTAATATATTTACAAAATTAAATGTACTTTAATTCATTTCGAAAAATTTTGTATTCCTTAAAATTTTGTATTCCTTCGATCCTGCAGCTGATCTTGAGGCGGACCTCCGCAAAACGTTTTCTGGCTGCAAGGAAGATTTTTCTGCTTAAAATTATCTCAAATTCAAAAACCCAAAAATTTTTTTAATACTGTAGATGAGTATAAGAATTTCAATTTTTGACAAAAGGCTTTCCAAAAAAACGGGGTTTTGTAAAAATTATTTAAAGTACAGAGTAGTTTAAAAAAATCGAAATTAATATCAAAAATCTTATTACTTCGATCACTACCAAACCACTAGTTACCTAGTTTAAACTTGAAATTCTACGACAGGTTCTTTTCCAGTTTCGCAAAATTGGAAACCATGGTCAACTTAGACGAGGAGTCTGAAGCCTTGATTATATGCCAGCAGTAGGACTAGAGGCGAAAACTATCGAAAAAGTAACCGACCCTCTAAAAATTGTATAAAAGGGCTCTCCAAGGTCTCGAACCACGTACCCTATTTTATAACTAAGAAATGACCTTTTAGTGTGACTATTTTCATCACTTCTCTATTTAGCTTCTTTAAGTAAATACATACATACACAATTTTCTTTTTCTCTTTTCTGCGGGGTGTGTACATTTATTATTAATTTTCTCCATTTATTTGTTTCAGTTTTATTTTTCTTAATCAGACTACATGTACTTTTCATTTATGTTAGTACGTTGTGTTATGAAACATAACGCAACACTACATTACATTACATGACATTACAACAATAACATACAATAAGACATCGACGCAATTACAATACAAATTACAATACTTCTAGATGTGCCTAGAACAGCGCATTTTGCAAACGCGAAACACATTGTTTTTGTTGCCTGTTTTTTTTTTTTATTATTATAACTTTTTTATTCAATTTGCCTACACTACTACACGCTTTCGCTATTACATACAAACATACACAGTACATGCAATAATTATGCTACATATGTTGCTGTGTATTATAACATGTCTTATATGGTTTTCTTTTCTTCCTCTTCTGCTTCTTCTTCTTCTTTATCTTAAACTCATATGCTGGTTGTTTGGTTCAAAATGTTGAGCGTTTATTTTACTAATCGGCTAGCAAATGCGTTCGCTCGAAGACTTTCAGGGAACGCGTGAAATTTATAAATACCGACAGACATACATACAAGATGTATGCGTGCCTGTGTGTGTGTGCATTAAAATATGAAATTGCAGTTTATATTTCGTAATTTCGCTTAAAATACTAGAAACCTATTTTTCAATCAATTACGAAAATATTTAAAATCTCGAAAATTTGTAGTCTTCGCGTCAGTTAATTTTTATTAGCCGCTATTTTCGAAAAATTCTTAACTCGTTTCATTTTTTGTTAATTAATTATGTTTTTTTTTAATATACATATATTGTAATTTGTTGCTGTTTTTCTTTTACATATACATACATATATATGTGGTATGTACTTTTGAACTTTTGAGTGTGTGTGTATATGATTTTCGCGTTTTTAACGATTCCATGGACTTTGTTGTGTTAGCGCTTTTTTTCATTTGCAAATGATTTTTTTTTATTTTGACTACATATGTAAATCTAATTGTGCTTATGTATTGTACATTCTATACATCTAACTACGTTATGTTACACAATTACATGTGTGTATGTAAATGTTATCGAAGACTTCATTAATGAATATGAACTTTAAAAAATATTAATAATTTCTTTGATAACAAAAAAATAAAGTAAATATATAAGCGAAAAAAAAGAAAAATATTCAAATTAATTTAAATTAATAAAAAATTAGCAAAATTTGTCGTATTTAATATTAACTTTAAATAGAAACAATTTACCCGCGAGCATTCTAACAGAAAGATGAAAAGGTTCAAAAAATAAAATAAATAAAAATTATTTTTTGGTTGATTTCTGACTTTTCCTGCAACACTTAATTCGATTTAAGTTTATATAATAAGATAATATATTTAACCTTAAAAGCGTTTCCGACAGCCCTTAATTTAGTCAACAAGCAAATTATCTCAACTAATACCACATCCAAACCCATTGCTGATTCGATGATTGAGAAAATTTCTATATTTTAATGTTTAATTTAGCCAATTTATGCATGCATTGTCTCAGTTAATTGCCGTGTTTAAGAAATTGCATTCACTTGTGAATTTCGAAAAATCGTTTTTTTATATTTCATATATTTCGAATGCGAATACATTTGAAAATTGGTCCGGCAAATAGTTTCGAAGAAATAAGCTTATTTGTAAGAGTTTTTCCAAACTTTAAACATGTGTTTCTCGAAACACTGTTACCAGAGTCGGTGAGAGAAAATTCTCCGAAACGGACCGATCGATTTGAAATTTGTGTACAAGCTTCTTAGATATATTTTTCAGGTAATGATCGAAGAAATAAAATTTGATAATAATTTCGATTCTTTCACAAAAAAAACTACTTTATTTGGAGAGCCGACATTTTGTCAAAAACCAAAAATTCTAATAATATGCTTTTACATCTTCTTTCGGAAATCATTCTGGAGAACGGCTACGGGATCAAGGGAAACCAAACTTAATTTCTGTAAATGAACTTTACTTTTATGGATTAATTTAAAAAATAATCGCAAAAAACGGTTTTTTTGAACTTGCTTAAACTTGATGGAATATGTATATGGAATATTGTTAATTGACTTAATTAATGGGCTATGTGAAACATCTATTAAGTTAAAGATTCAGTACATTAATTAAGACCAGGTTTGACACGTCTTTGAGGAGAATAGCCTTCACTACCAGAAAATATCGCTGACTATTCATGTCTTGATTGCCAAAATTCCTTAAACTTATTTAAAAATTTACGATAATAACACTTTTACACAATCTGAATCACGCCTTATGTGTTATAAAGATCGCATTCTTATAATGTAATTCGAAAATCAAACAAAAAATCTCAATATATTTTTGAAATTTTTAATTTTTCTAATACTTTATATAATATCTATATTTAACGAAAAAAGTCTGCAAATAATCAAAGTTACAACAAAGAATATATAAATTCAAATAAATAAATGCAAGTAGAAAAGTAGTTTCCGAATTCGATGAGATATCATATGATGATTGTCGGAGGTCAATTGAGTTTTCGAAATTACATTTACACTTACGTCAGTTGTAAATGTGGTTAAAATATTACGTCAGCGCCTTTTTCAACTGAGCTAAAAATTGCCGGTATTATTTTTTTTACTTTTCCATAAATGCCATTTTTGCAGTTACATATGTCCAAAAACTTTTTAATTAATATATTTTTTTTGAAAATTGATTTTTACTTTTTGAATTTTTGGTTTTCTGGCGCCGACATTCAACGACTGTGCTCTTCGCGTGTGCAGTTTTAGCTGTTTCCACACACTAATTGTTTAATTAATTTATTTTTTATTTTATTTCTCTTATAATTTAAATTTTACACGTACACACATACATTTCCAATCTATAGTGGCAAACTTTGCATTTTCTAAGACACATTTCACATTGAAAAATTAAAATACCAACACCCTTTTCGACAAATACAATACATATATTCAAAGCGTTTCTTGTTTTTGTTTTTGTTTCATTAACATTGCATTTTGCTGCTTTTTGGCATTGCTATTCATTCTTTTTGCATTATTGTTCGATTATATTTTCATCAATATTTTTTTTAACCTTTTTTTCTTTTATTATTTCCTATACGAATATAACTTGTATTTGTATGTATATATGCAGTGCATATAAAGCCAAACAATGCGTACTTCATACATAAACATACATATTATTTTAATGTCACTGCGACAATTGCTTAAGTCTTGTAGTCTACCAATGTAAATACGAGTGCATACGTACACACATACTGTGGGATCAAAAGTTAGTCCAGGAACGGGCCGTGCTATGAATACAAGTACATGCTTATAAAGTTTTCATATGTGTAAAAGGGGGTTTCACATTAACCGTTCTTCCGCATTTTGTCATCACTTCAATGTATGAAAATTAATTCAAAATTTATTTTCACTTACAAATGACTTGGTATCTCGGAAAATTATTGAATTCTCGTCGAACTCAACTTAAATTTGTGTAATTGTGTATTCACTCTGTTGTATGGTGTTATGCTTCCCTGCTTACCAGCGCCGAAGTCACAGTTTTTTTTACCTTCTTCTATAACTCAACATTGCAATTTATTGCTTTGATTTCTTGTCTGCTGAGAACGACCGCTATTAAAAAAATTATATATTTTTTTATAGATGTCACACAGGCCGAGAAGTAGCCTGCTACTCAATATGTTCGACTATACTTAGATTTCATATTCCTATTGCTTGTTGAATTTTCAAGAATAATTTACGTGCTTTGAAAATTTACTGAAGTTTATGGCTAAACGGAAATTATTTAATTACTATGTCTAAAAAATGGATGCCATAAAGTTAAAACAACGCGAATCCAGTTTCAAGTTCCCAAATTATGTAACAATTGTTTCATCGATGCTTACGAAAAAGAAAGAAATCAAACGCTGAAAGGATACTACAAGAAAAACGCTGTGCCGTGCTTTCACACAGCAGACATTCGTTGTGAATTAAAATATTAATTATTCATTCAATATTCGACGATTTTAAAATCCGTTTAAATTGACTTGACAAATTATGATCAGATGATGTTATGACAAGAATTTTAATATGCAGATCACAAATTCAATTCAAAAGTGTTACAAAAAATGCCCAGATAATTATAATGACAACCGTTTTCATATGTTTGACTGCGACTGTCATTTAGTTTTACGGAGTGAAGACCGCTGATTAGGGTAATAGCATGGGTATGTCAAAAATGAAATGGTTCTTTGAATTCTTATCACTTTTGCATTATTTTCACTTTTCTTTTTTTGATTACTTTATCATATACATATCTATGTACATATATTAATCTTCAGTAGTGTAAATTTCACAAATCGCTGATGAATCCTTCAATGTGGGATATTTGGCTTTAATTCAGTGTAAATACTAGTTTTCCATTTTTTGGCATTTGTATTTTTTCATAAGATACATATCACACATACATAGGTACATATTTATACCCATATTTATATATATCATTTATGTATCGTGTTTTTATTTATAATACCTATGAGTTTGTTTCAAGGTTTGATTGACATATATTGTACAATCTATACAAATACACAAGCACATCTCCGCGGTGAAAGGCCAACGAGAGTGTACGCCAAATGTTTTCCACGAATGTATGTAGGTCAGGTAACCAGGAAAATTTACATATACATACGTGTGAAAAAGTCGCACTGCCAATTTACAGTGGTTCAGAAAAAAATGCTGACATTTGTCATATCACTTTTGCTGTCAAATTTTTAGATGGAAATAGACTTTCTATTAAAAGACATTTGCCGAGGTTATTAATACCTATTAATTTGAGACTTATTTTTAGGAAAAACGTCGTATTGGGTTCGTTCTGATGGTTCATAATATTGTAGGGAAGGAATCGGAGAAGTCTGTTTTCAAAGTTGTTGGAAGTAGTGTATTGTGCTAGCAAGATACTGGCCTACCTTACTAGCACGTGACTATATGGTCTTATCACGATAATTATTTAGACGGGGAATATTACCCAAAGACCAGTACTTAAAATAAATATGGGATCAAATTAACCTAGAGCGATCTATAAACTGAAAAAATTATATTTATATTACAATATCTCTTTAATAAAAAAATCTTTTCTCTACCAATTTGGAATTTTTTTCAGAAAATGAGATAGTAGGAATATGACTTGCAATTCTTCAAACACAATTCTTGTCCGATTTGATTTTGAAATGGCTATATGTGAACCAATTGACTCACCTTGAACAAGGGAAAAAATTGGCATTTTATAAAACTTTCTTTTGCAAACCTTCAGAGAAGCGTCACCTAAAAATCACAAAAAATTTTTTTTTAACAAAAACTTACAAGTGATAGCCAAAGACTATAGCTCATAGACATGAGCAAAAACTAAAATTTGAAATTTTATACACCTTACCTCATCCGTAATTTTTTTGGAATAATAAAAATGTTAGGGTCAAAAATATATCGGTTGTTCTTGTATTTCTAGTCATTTCCAGTTTTGTTGCAAATTTTAAAATTTTTAAGATTTACTAAAACTGTTTTCTGTGTGAAACCCATACATTTTGCATTAGACCTGTTCTAGTTTAACATTAAAGGATCTCCGTGTTAAATCGAATATTATTTCTCTCTCTCATTCTATACTTTAGTGAAAGTCTTATAATATCATAGAGCATTATGAATTACTGTTGTTGGTGCTGTTGAGGTTTTTCGGAAGGAACACTTGTTGCGGGTGATCATCAGCTGCCAACCAATAAAGAAACATGCTTCACACATACTTTTTCTTTCTCCCTAACATAGTATTTAGAATACTCTTTTGCTGTCATTATTTGAAAGTTTAGTTGATTGGCTGGTTTCTACTTGAGTGTAACTGTAACTGGAAAATATTTTTTTTCGAGTGCAATGCAACACTGGTTTGTGACTGAATTTGTATTTGCTTTGTGTTTCTTTTCCGTCCCGTTGTATTTTGCTTAAATTATTGTAGTAATTTGTTTCATTGTTTTTTCTTTAACCCCACATAAAATATTGTTGACATTTATTTTTTCGCTTTTCATGCCGTACGCTTGAAATTTTTAATAATCTATATTTTTTCTTTTTTTGTTGCTACATACAAACATTTGTTTATTTTTTTTTTGTTGTTGGTTTTTCTTTTCTTATTTTGCTCGACAAGTGTATCGCTATATACTATATAAATTTGACAATTGTTGTTTTAATTTAACGGAGAACATTGCCAGCATGTTGCTCGTGGTTTGCCTAGTTTTTTCGCTAAAACTACTTTTTTCTTACTAATTAATTATTATTATTTTTTTAATAATTTTATCTCTCGTTACGTAAAAACAGTAAAAAATCGAAAAATCATTTAAAAAATCTATAATCAATTCGGCATTTCAAAAAACTTTGCATTGTCAATTAAATGTTGCTCGTGTTTCGCATTGTTGCTTGGTGGCGTTTCCTTGTGTACAACGATTCCTTGTTCTTGTTATTTTGTTCATTACTTTTTATTTTTTTATTTAATACATCTTTAATTTCAATACAATACCTACTTTTAATATCTTTCAAAACTATTTGGCAGATCAATGAGTACTTTTGTGTCTATGGGTGTGTTTTTTATTTATTTCGTTTTGTGTTTGCTGTTTTGGTAATCTTAAAATATACCATGTTATATTGTTTAGCGTTTTTTTTTTGTTTTAATTTTATGTTTTCAAAACTTGACTATGATTTCTAAATTCTTTGCGTCTCCTATTATGTTGCTTCACACATACATACGTACATATACACATAAAAATAAACTTTTTTATCAGCTGAAAATGCTAGATCTCTTTTTTCAATTTACCACTACTTTTTTATACTTTTTTTTTTTGTTTTACTTTATATATTTGTTTTTGTGTCAGGTTTTTAATTTTTGTTTCTATTTCTGTTTCATTTTTCTTTTAATATGCGCTATGATTGGTTAAATTTCAACTACAACTATTGACGACGTCGTGTGTAAACATCCCTACAATATACACATAAGTAATACTAATTCCCAGCTACCCGTCCCTTAGGTGCACCCGGCGCCTAAATGTGGGTCAGTGTTTTCCCTGCTGCGCTGTTTTTGTGGCGTCTTACAAAAATTTGGCATCTTTTGAAATCCATTGGAATACTCATATTTTTGTTATTATTTTGCTTATTTGTTTGTTTTTGTTTTTATTATATCTTTGGCTAGTAATTTTTATCCATTCTGTCATTCCACTCACAGGTCGATTCGTTTGAACGAAGGCGTTTATAAAATGCAAAAACTCTAAATTGTCACGCAGTTGAGAACCCAACTGAAAATTCGTTCTCGTATTACCCGTAATATTAGTTAACATGTACATAATTCAATATTTCTATAGATCTTTTTTTTATTTTTTTTTACATTTAAATTTTCTCTTAATTTTTCGCAGTTTGGCTCGTTTCTCGTTTAAGACTCGGGTGCAGCGAAAAAGTGAAAATTTATTCCAAAGTACTAGAAGGTGAGTCCATTATTTTGCTTTTCTGTAGAGCTCCTGCTAATTAAACTAGTTTTTGACTGTATTCATTTTCTTATTTTGTTTTTGTTATTTAACTTATAAGCGTTCAAGTGCCTTTGCACTCGTTTCTAGGGTGGGGTGGTTATATTTTTTCAGTTAAAATGTTTTTTGTTCTTATTTTTTTGTTGAATTTCTTATCTTTCTTTTCTTCCTCTTAATGTCGTTCATTTTCTTCCTGCTCTACTGCCTGGTAGTGTTCGCGCTTAAAATATGAAATCCCCACAATCCATGGCATAGTCGAAGTCCTCACCGCCGAGATCTTCCACGCCAGTCGAATGGAAATCGAAGCCGCCGATGTCGGTGTGGTATACGGCGCCACTACATGACGTGTCCACAAGATTGGTGCAGTGCGTGGTGGGCAGTGCGTGTAGGGTAAAAGTGTCCTCACACTGCGACCAAGTGAGACCTGTTGAATGGAGAGTAAAAAGAATGGGTTACTTATAGTGATTGTAGACTAAAATATTCCCATTCAGGGTTCCATTTCTCATTAACTAAAAATCCCAATCTTAATCTTTCTTGTTAGCTGTCGAGTATTTGTTTCAATCCTCGGAATTCGACAATTTATATATAATTTATATCTAGGTCCTATTTCTATTCTACTTACCGCCACTCCAAACACCATTCGGCAAAGTGGCCCATCCCCAACCATGTCCCCAGGGCAATGCGCAGGCCAAAGCCGGCTTTGAATCGGGCTTTTTACTTAATATGGCAACGGCGGCATCGCTCTTTACCAACGGATCCTGTACGTAGAACGTGCGATGGTGGGCCAAAGCCGGATGAGCGCTGCTGCTTCTGTGCGCCGAAACTTTACGCTGTTTCACCTCCGACGTAGTGGCCGCTAGAATAAAATAAATTACATTTCCACATAGTAGTTACCATGCTTTAGTTGATAAAGTGGTTGCAACTTACGTCGGATGCGCACCAGTGGCCGACGTAAGACATTCATAAGATGCGGCTTGTCAACTACGAGCTCAATTTGTGGTGGTGGCGGCAGCTAAAATATAATGTAAAACAATTATAGTTACATATCGCCCCTGAATGATTTTGGTTAGAGTGAATGACTCACCGTCTTAGTAATGGCGTCAACCCAGTCGCTGTGCATTTCAAACAAAAATTTTTTAAATTTATAACTTAACCTTATGTTTTGAGAAATTGATATTTATTCACCTCACTTCCTGTTCCGATTTGGCCAACATCCAGTAGACCTTGGAGCGCTTTCTTCTTGAGCCCAACGCAATCAGCTGTGACACACTACAGCCTTCGGGTAGTGGTGGACGTCGCGGTATTTGCCCAGTCCAGTGTGCAATGGCCAGCATTTCAGGCGCTTCCTTTACTAGAATTTTACCAGCTGGCGATGACCGGCCAGGTTCCTATATATAGAAATTTCGCTGTCAGTCAACCACAGTATATTTTATAATCTAAATAAACTAGCACTTGATCTCTGCATTTCCATATAGGAAAATAGCATGGACAATATTGTATATAATGCAGCGCTTCACTGACTACGGTATTACTAATGAGTCTTAAATTCTGAAAGTTTTTTCTCAATGCAGGATCAAAGACAAAAGTTTTCTCATCAAAATTTGTGACACATTCTATATCCGGCTGTAAATCCATTTTTCCTTTTATAATATCATCGCTAAATCGAACGGCAAACAATTCTGTTAATTTATGAAACCTTGGTTCTGTTATTAGATTCGGCTTAAGCACTTGTTTAACTTGAACACCAAATGACAGCTCTTAGGTGATTTGTTAACAAGGGGTTGTTATGACATGAATATATATATCATCCTACTAAAATCAAATATCGTTCGAGCCTAAAACCAAATTTCGCTCACAAAAACATATCTGAATTAAGTTGAATTTTAAAAGACAAATGCGCTAATGATAGAATGGTTTTAAGATCTACGCCAAACCCTATCAGTCTCAGAGAATGTTTGCAAAATTTCGCAAGGATATTCTAGTCACTCTCTGTCAATGTCAAAATAACTCACTAAAATCAAAAATTAGAAACCCACTACGGACCACCCTTTACATGTATTAGACTTATTCAACATCTTATCCTTCTATTAAAACTGAAAACATTAAATGTAGATACTTCCATAGATTAAAGCTATATAGGTCAAGTAAAAAGAAATCTATTATTTTTCCAATAGATGGCTTCAGTAATCTGAAGAAAAAACTTCTCAGATAGTTTTGTAATTGCTTGGCTTATGAATCTTTAAGCATGCGTCAAATAAGGACATCACCAAAAAGAAAATACGCCATATTTTACAAGCTTCTCTTCGATAAAGGCGAAAACATAAGCCAAACCTAAAAATGTGCTTAAAGTATGATCCTGATACTATAACAGCCAATAACGCGCAATTTAGGTTTATGTATGGGATGATTGACGGGAAGAAAACTTGTTAGATGGAGTTTCCATCATTCAGAACTAGACTATCATCAATGGCACCGTCTGAAGGAGCAATTGCTCAGAAGCAGCCAGATTTTGACTAATTGAAGAGGAATTGTGTTCCATCACGACACGTTGATAGTGACTCGCTAGAATTTCCTTGGTTGGGAGGTTGTTATAGAATCACCCTATAGTGCGCACCTGACATCAAGTGAATACTACCTGTTCCTGTTCATGGTAAATAATTTTGCAGGTGAAGCCTCAAAAGAAGCTTGTGAAAATCGACTGTTCCATTTTTTTGTCAATAGGGATGAAATGAAATCAACTGCAAAATGGCAACAAGCTATTGAACAAAATGGTGCACATTAATCGGATCATTCTAATTATGTTAGATAAAATCTTAAATTTAATGCAAAAATAATGGATATCTTTTCACTAGTCCTCATACGAATATTAGTGAACTCAGCACTCAGATACTGATGAGGAAGCTTTGCAGTTGCATGTTTTATTACCATTAAGTTCTAGTAGGTACACATAGAAACGCTTAAACGACATAAAGCATATTCATTTAATTTTATGTTGGATTTATTTGCCTTAATACATGCTATCGAAATATTAATATATATGTCGAACTTACCGTAAACCAAGCCATTGTTGAATCATCATACAGCACGACCCATTCCTCGGCCCAGCGATTCCACAGCAATTGCTCTAAAATGTAAAGATATTTAGAGTAGGTCAAAGAGTATTAGAAAATGGACGCGAATTTCTGAAACTCTTGTCATTGACTCCCTAACGCTGAAGGTCAACCACTTTTGCTTACAAAAACAAGACAAACCATTGCAAATGTAATTATTGTGACTACTCAAGTGTTTGGGATGCTGGAGACATTCATACATACATGTATACATATATGTATATGCCGGCTACCGCCCACAAGCTCAGCCGTCAACTTGTGGGGAGAGAACGATTTGTGAGTAATATTATGAAACCATGCAAGTGAGCACTTCACATACATACATATATGTATGAATATACATGTAAATGGAAACGCATGTAAGCGTATGCTTTTATACGTACTCAACTGTGTATGTGTTTGTACAAATGTTGCTTGACATGTAAATTCGTTAGTGTATAAAACGCCTTTTTTGCGGCATTAAGATTCTTGAAAATTTAAATGCGCTTACAAATGTAATCTGCACCATCATTATCACCATCAGCAACAGTACTACCAACAGCAGTCGCAGCAGCAACAGCAAAAGCAATCATGCCAATGCCATCATCATAAATGACAGGGCCACCAACATCAACATCAGCGGCAAGCGGCTCTTAGCCTTCACCAAAGCGCGCAGCCTTCCCCTTAACCACATGTGTGGGTGGTAGAGGAGGAAGCGGAGGCGCTTGAGCAGTGTAACCGAATGCGGCATTGCGTCGCTTTACCCCATGGGGCTGCCACTTAGTGCGCGCTTTGGAAATGCATGCCATTGTCTGTGCGCGTCGGAAGGAAGGAATTGCTGCGTCATGTCAATGTATATTGCACTTATGCTGATTTTGCAAATTGTCGCAAAACCCTACAAAATTGTATATGACACAGACAAAAACCAGAAAAAAAAAACAAAATTGATAAAAGAATAAAGAAGGTACACATCTACATGCGATTGGTAATTTTATTTTCGAGATGGCAGGCTGTAGTATCAGTTGGCTTACTGCTTTACTGGCACTCATGTGCAATCTACATACAGTTATATTTGCATGTGTGTGTTTGGCATTAGACATTTGTGTGGCATTAGGCCATGAATCGGTAGATATGACATGGACTGCTGGCATATCTTCTGCTCATAATACTTTGTGCTACCCCAAGTGACTTAAGTGTTTTCCAATTTTTTTATTACTTCTGCCTTGTTGTAGTTATTGTATAACCAGGAAATTTTTTATTTTATCTAAAATGAAGTCTGCAATTTGCATTCAAGTCACTTTAAGCCACGTTGGCGCTGATTTTTCCATCGCTTATACTTTATAAATGAATTGTCTAGTACTTTACGCTGCACTCCACCTTTGTGTACTTACTTTTGTAACGCAACAAGTATCCTCCTTTGATCTGTTTCCCAACTGTGCCTGTAAAGAGAGTGAAACGAGGATAATTACTGCATATTTATCTGTCTCTCCGAAAAGTATAAAATTATAAAATAAATACTGAACAGTTTCGAGATAAATTATAAAGGGACGTACTGTCCGTCCAATTTCACATCACTTTAGTATAGCGGCTGCTATCATGTCAATGTGGAACTTTAATGTTAGTTTACCAATACTTTGAAAAGTAATTATCAAATATATGTTATCTCTCTGAGCACACAAATTCTTCTCTGTCACGATATTTTTCAGTTTTGAAATAAATCTTCCAAATTGCTTGAATCTAATTTAAACGATTGATTGCAGACGAAATTTATTGAAACCGTAGTACTGTGAATTCAAGTTTAAGTATTCGCCACAGACATCCTGTTTATAACAGAAAAAGCTTGTGATTAATTGCGACATTTATGAAAACTTCGGAAGCTTAACTGCTAAAGATTAGGATATAAAATTCGAGTGTTACCTCTATACTCGATTTTTTCTTATACTTCCGTACTTTCTGTTGCAGCCCCGAAATCGGGAAACCTAAAATTAATGCATTATACACATACGGGTTACATAGGCGACGCTTCCGAATCTATTACGGTGTGCAACAGTATATCAGACTGTTAATACCTCAAGCGGAGAAGCCTTTTATAGACATTAATTTAATATCGTTCCTGTAATTTTTATAAAATCTAACTGGTTGAAGTAATGTTCTTCTGAACTTGTCCTTTCCAAAGATGGCTCCCGTATATTTAATCTTCGTTTTTATTCGAGAACAAGAGGTATTTCATCTTGACTACGTACTTTAGAGACGAATTCGTCTTGTATCTCTATTATACGGTATGAGAGTAAACAGTGGAGTAATCGAATTTAAAATTACTCAGATATCCCAAGGTATATTCTTTAACTAAATGTAAAAAATACAAGCTTTTACTTAGTTGGAGCCACAATCGAACCACATATACCATAGCCAAAAATCGAATTACACTTTTCAATTTTCGAAAATAATTGTGTAACTTTAAAATGTCTAAACTATTTGTAGTGTCGTTTCTATGAATTCAGTATGCTACTTTTTCATCCTCCACATCAGCGTCGGAAATCTCATTTCGCTGAATTATTGCCATGAAATTTAATTACAGTTGTTATTGTTGTACACACTGAAGCCATACCAACCAATTTCGATTCAATTAATATGCGCCCACATAATAATCACATATCCTTGTAAATGTATCAATTTTGAAGGCAACGCTAGCGCTAACGAATTGCGGCTACGTTCCGCTTCCTTTCAGGCGTTGCAATCAAGCGTGTCTGCAGCCATTGCGCTCCGTCTGCTCTGGCCACAAGCACTCATCGCATCACTTAAGTGGTGAATATTCAGTGAAAGTTAAATTGCAAAGCTGCTGCACAAGTGTTAGTGAAGAAGAAGCGGCACACACATACAAACGTTGCGACACACAACAACGGCGGCGCTTGACGGCGCAGCGTGATAAGAAGGACATATGAAAGACGTTGGCTTATCCTTCGCTGTTACGCTTCACTGGCGTCACCCAATATCATTTATGGTAAAATTTATCTACCAATAATTACATGCTCTTGATCCGCAATAGTTGCACAAACACTCACACACACACACAGACATATATATATGCATGCATAAGCATAGTGCTGCTTGGAATGTTCGTCCACCAGTTTGCACTCTGTTATGCGTGCGTCTGTGCACGTGTGTCTGCCACTATGTCTGTATACATATAGATATGTATGCATGTACATACTTGCATATGAATATCGACGCAGTTGCATCGTCTTGGCGGAAAGCGTGCCGAGGGTGCAGCGTGTAACGGAAAAAAACAAAAAACGCTTCCTACCAAACGTTTTGCGCACCACTGCACTCACTTTCGTCGATGTTCCTCCGTCCGTTGGCCCAATCGTCCAGCAGGCTTCCATTCAGCAAATGCAGCATTCCATCCCCCAAACATCATTTCACCGCTCAGCTTTAGCATCCATTAGATTGTCTGGCATCATAAAAGCCTCCCTGGGCTCATACCACAATCGTTTTACGATTTCACATGACACTCAAGACCCAACGCGACCCGACACGACCCGAACACCTCGCTGTTGCACTCGCTCCCAACGGTGAACCATCAAACGCACACAAGTGCAACCAAATACCCACACATATGTACATATATACAGACACACTCATCCGATGCCATCGCTCATATGATGACGAGCTTGCACGAGAGCTTGGAATGGCAGGATGTGCAGACAGATTACAAGTGTCGCTGCAACGTTTGCTGAAGGACGCTGGGGAAATGCTGATGAAGAAAGCTGCAACTGAAACATCTTCATTGCGAGTGAATGTATATACATATGTGTGTTTGTGTGCATTAGCAAAACACATTCATAAAATCCTACACTTGTCGGCAAGTGAACTAGCGGTACATAGATTCATACGTAGCAGTACATATGTATGTATGTATTGTATATGTATGAGAATGCACATTTGAGAAATGCACTTGCCTGTAGAGAATATCTCAAGCACATAGGAGGAAAGGTCAAACAGTTTGCGACAGGAAGGGTTTAAAATGAATTATTGTATTATTTTGTCCTCTTTATTAAAGTATGTGTGTATTATTTATGTGCTTCTTTGGTGTTTCAAAGAGTTTGCCTTTAACCTAAAAGGTAGGTAGCCTTGAGAAAAGTTAGGTATGGTCGACTTCAAGATTACACTTTGTGTTTACTATTATTCGAATGAAATTTTCCAATTCCATTTATAAATTTATTCTAGGTATTTCAAAAAACTTTTGGAAGCCGGTTAAACCCTCTAGATTTGCATATTCGTCTGGAATTTTGCCACAAACTGATTGAAATGGCCGAAGAAGACAATAACTTGATATATTACCTATTTATGTCTGATGAGGTCCATTTTGATCAAAACGTAAATGTAAACAAGCCAAATTGCCGTATATGGAGTGAATCAAATCCAGAAATAATCCACGAGACGGAACTTCACCCAGCACGGGTCATCGTGTGGTGCGCAATTTCATCAAGGTGTATTGCCGGGCCATAGTGTTTGATTCCAGCAAGATGGAGCAACTACACACATAGCCAACAAAATCTAACGGCAATTTGAAAACAAATTAATATTAAGAAACTCCAATTTCCGCTGGCCCCCAAGGTCATCTGACCTGTCTGCACCAAAATTTTTTATGGGGTTATGTCAAGTAAGAGGTGTACAAAACAAAACCCAAAAATCTGACTGAACTGAAGCCGTTCATTAAATCGATAATTGAGGCAATCCCAACTTCAACCCTTCAGGCTGCAATGAATAATTTTCATGATTTTTAAAAATAATTAATTATATAAAATAAAATAGAGTTTGCTATATAATAACAAAAAATGTAATACATAAATTAAAAAAAAGGGTATTACGGTTTGTTTTTGTAGGACGATTTGTGAGCCACCCTGTACATACAGATACAGCTCATTTAAATTTTAACTCTATTATGGAAACATATTGAAACTTAGTAGACTGACGGAGAATTAGGCTTCACGGTCAGGTTTAGTTTGCAGGTCTTTCAAGAGAGACAGGACCACATACACATAAATATATATGTTTTCAGGTATTCCGATCAAAGAATATGAATATAAATTGGTGGTAAATAAATTCGTAATTCCTACAGGGCCCGTCGTTGAGTCGACATATGAATTCGCATGAGTTTTTAAGCTTTCGTATGAATGACCAAAGGGGCGATGACGATTACGCTCAAGTGTCGTGTCTGTCCGCTAGTGTATACTCATAAAAATAAAAAAAAGGTGGCTAAATCCTCAGTGCTGCGCAGCGGTGACCTCGAAATAATCAAGCTAAGACTGTGCAAATCAAATGTCAAAAACTTGAGGCATGCATGAAGCGTTCGCGATTAGAAGCACTCCAGAAGAGCTACTCGTAAATAATATTCACAAAGAATGTGGATTGCGCATCCTTTAAACGCTGAATTATGTATTTATGTGAGCAATTTAATTAGAAATGACTAAGAATTCGCTACTGATTAGAAGTGCAAAGCTTTACAAAAGTTAATACACAACCAAACTCTTAAACATATACATATATGTATTTTATAAAAATTTCCTAAAAAAAACCTTTTCGGTTGATTTTGGCTTATACGATATATGATTTAGTGGTTCGATCTGCCACAATCGTAAAGATATTCTGTCAAATAAAAGAGTTTTTCATCGAGAACTTGATTTTGATCGATCAAATGAGCGGCTTCTTGAAGAGAAAGGTCTTGTGAAAAATTTTAGATCGATATCTTATAAACTGAGTGATTAGTTCGCTTATATATTGTACATTAGGACAAGGCGTGGCAGCTCATCACGCTGATCATTTATATATATACTTAATAGGGTTTCGGACGTTTTCTTCTAAATATTGGTAAGATTTTATTCTCGAAAACCGTATCCGCAACGGTCCGAAAAATCTATCTTTATGAAAATTCAACGGCAACACCCTAGTCTAGATCAATAGACTAGGATATAGAGATAATACCTTAGACAGAGGTTTGACATTTTGTCTGACCATCATCAACATCATTGCTAATTATGGTTTAGAATCACTTCGTTTAAAGATCAACTCTATTATAATTTAATTATCGTATATGTACTTATGAGTTGTCTGATGTGTATACCTATCAAAATAAAACCTGGCGATTCTTGTACGTTCCTAATGTGAACCTAAGAAAATTTTTTCTAACTTTGAAACCCCTATTTCACCATCCGATTCGCGACGAATCATAATAAATTTGGATTCTCTTGTAAAAAGGGCTTTCTATTTTTCTTCTCTCTTTGGCTTCCCCATTTAATGTTATTACTGATCACTGTCAGACTCAACATCACATATTAACGTACATTCTCGAAGGCGCAATTTTCATCCGAACGAGTTGAACGTCCAAATACTTTAAAACAAAACTAAATTACATCTCTTTTTATGTTGCCATTTTTTTTTTTTTTTTTTTTGCTAAAATACAAATTAATATTGATAACATTCCGATTTCGGTTTCATACTTAACGGCCAACTTTCATTTTGGTTAAAAGCTTGAAAACAAAATATTTGATGTTTTTAACCGCCAAATCCGATTTCAAAAATTGTCTTTAGTATTCTATTCCTAGTATAGTACTCAAGATATTTTGTAAATACTGTATATTAAATGAAATTGCTTAATGTAAGGCTTAGTAAAAAGAAATTCATTATTTTTCCAATAAATGACTTTAGTAATCGGTATCTCGCGTTGTATAACAGCAATCGGATTACGCTATATGGCGTTGTAAAAATGAGATTTCGTACTGACTCAGTATAGTTTGAGATCGTATTAAAGGTGGACAGTAGAAAAGAGAAAGAACGACATGATGGATCGTCTGAAGGAAGTAATCGTCCAGAAGCGGCCAGCTTTGGGCAATAGGAGAAGAATTGTATTCCACCAGGCTACACAAATCGCCTGAAGCTCCGCGAGCTCGGTTGGGAGGTTCTTATGTATTCACCTTATAGTCCGGACGTGGCACCAATCGGGACGAGCGTTTCTGTAAGAGTGGCATTATAAAATTACCTTAAAATAACAACAAGTTATCGATAAAACGATGCATATTTATCCTCAATCAGATCATTATAACTACGCTAAATAAACCTTCAAATTGATGACAAAATTATAGATTTATTTTCACTAGATCGTATACATATATCCATATTTTTAATACTTTTTTTTTTAAATCCTTTCATACTATTTCTATGTATTTTATTTATAATAAAAAAAAACATGTTTAAACTTGTCAAAATTTAATTTTAAATGGAATTTCTAAAAATCATTTACAAATACCCGCAATAGTGTTCCTCAGTAATTGTATAATTCCTTTCATACAAATATTTGGTGAAATCACTGACATTTCTGCAAGTACGTTTTTATAAGTATTCGCTCGAGAATGAACCTTTTACGAAATTAATCCGCAGTAATTTGCAATTTAAGCTTCACATCTCTGCTAAATTGAATTGGTAGCTTTGCTATTTTGTGCAGAATGTCATTTCATTATTTGCTCAGCAATTTTGCTGCAACTATTAACGGTTTTTATTTTAGACTTAAACGCTGCTGGGATAACTGCTCGAGGGTACTTGCACCCTTAGGGGTCATTACTTGTGTAAAGGAGCTAAAATTGTCGGTTCATGTTGATATGATTGTCAAAAGGAAACAACAACAACTACACCATTTTAATCCACATGCTGCCGTACAATCACGAACGCAACACACGCAACCTCAGTGACTTAAGCTTTTCCCACGAATATTTGCAATGAACTTTGCACATTTGTATGTACACAAAATGTTCATAGTGGTGTTAGTGTGAGCGTGTGTGTGTGCATTGAACACTGCACTAAATACGCTGAACTTGCTGCACTTTAAATCATGCTCGATAAATGCAGCAGATAAGAAAGGTTTGCTAGTCCAGAACCAACATCACAGTGCACCAAGTGAAGCATTTAAAATGTTAGTAAAGACTCACATACACACACACACATTTTCGAGCATTCCAATCAGTTTATACACACCTAACCTCTCACAGATATTCTGCTTTTATATATTCGCCGATATATATATATATATACCCATATTTATGTATACAATATATACCGATGTATATTATATTTGTGGCAACCCCGCACCCCAAAAAATCGAGCGCACACTCGTGAATGTATAATAAAATATACGTTCGTGCTCGTTTGCATATGTTAGTGCTTCACACCAAAACACGACAAGTCGTTGAATTCATTGAGAAAAATAAAGTCTTGACTTGATGGCATAGCAGAGAAGCTTTAGACGCAGCAGCGCCACCTCCAACTCAGTCGGAGCATTTAACTTAGCATAGTGTTTCTGCTTGTGTGTGTATGTGTGTGTGGATGCCTGTACCTGATGTGCTCACATAAGTACAGTAAAACATAAACACTGGTGAAAACGCTCAAGGGAAGCTAGAATAAATAAAAATGAAAAAATTATGAAATTGTTTTATCGCCTGTAAATATGCTAAAAAAAATTCCGTTGTTTAATTATTTCAATACAATGTACTCATTATTTATCTAATATTTAATATTATAAGGTAATCCAATTCAGATTTTATAGTAAAAGTACTCAATATAAATCAAAGTAATCAACACACAAACAAATATTACTCAAAAAAATTTTGTCTCGTAAAACCTTTAAAATAAATTATTATTTATTTATATTATTTTATTACTTCAGTAACAAATTTATTACTGATAAAAAATGTTTAATACGTATTTGATATAACTACTCAGTGAATATTTAGTTTGCTTGGAGTTGTTGCAAAATATTCAGTATTTATTTAATCTATATGTAGAAGAGTACTCAAGAGTAATCATATTAGCTCAGTATTTACTAAAAGCAAGTTATGAGACAATCTACTCGATTGATTTAAAAAATATCAAATTTTCAAAAATGATTCCAGTGGTTTTTCAAATATAATATTTTCATTTTTCTTTTCGAAGATCCCACTTTGACTTCTTCTATAAGCATCTGTAAAATAAGCCTGACATAAAAATATTATACACCATTGTATAAATAATTATGAATAATTTTTTTCAATAATCTTAATTTCCAACATCGGAGGAAACTATGGAGGCTAACTTTGAAAAACGGCGAAACTGCTGTATTACTTATAACTCAATCTCCATTCTATTTAAAATAAAGCTTTACATTTCATATCGAATTTCTATTCGCTGTACCGAAAACTGAGCATGGATCTTTTAATATAAATTTATAAATATATTTCTTTTTTGTCAAATCATCACTTTTATGCTTTTATGAAAACTCATGAGATCTAACATAAAGTATTGAAGCTCTTATAAAATTTACATTTAATACTAGTTCACTTTGCTGATAATCCACTGTTCAAATGTGCTTGTATATTCGAGCATCCCCTACCACGCCACCTCCTAGCTCAACCCAAATCACTTTAGCCAAGGTCTCCTACACCAGAAACACTTTCACTTGTACTCACCCGTTGGTTGTTGTGTATTCACTGTTGAGTTTCGTGGCTTCACTTTCGAACACATGGAGAACATCTTTGGCAGCTTTAATGTCTACTTTCAGGCGTTTCGTTTATTATTTGCTAGTCCCTCGTTTTTCAAATTCGAATGGAATTGTATCGACGCTCACTTAAAAATTTCCTCAGCTTAGAAAATGTTGCATTTTATTTTAACGCTGATAATTTGTCGGATTTTTTATGTAAAATTCTTTAAAAAATAATTGTCGCGTTTCACTAATTTCGTTTTTAATTTTTGTTTTTATTTATGTATATATTTTTGAGGTTGGAATTATTATAAAAATTAGAGTTGCTTTGTGCGCAAATGATGTCACGGTTAGTAAATCAGAGACGACAATGACGCTGCTATCCGCTCGCGTGCGGGTAGTTGCTGCCTTTTATATGAATTACGAAAAAAAAACAGAATTTTTTTCTTGGCTGACTTCTCTGCGAACAACACTTTTGTTGGCAACTTCGTTTGCGGAAGTACAACTACAAATCTGCTGTGAAGGCTGTTAATGAAGACTGATAATGAAATGCTCGTTTATCACTGAAATGTCACTCAAAAAATGTGGCGCAGTGAAAGCAATAACACGAAAATAATGGAAAGGCTTTAGCGAAAACGCGCTTAATTATTAAACGGTACGTCAAGTGCACGCTTCTTCTTTTATTTTCACTTTTTATTCGAGCGCTTTAAGCCCACACTAGTGTATGCATCAGAGACAGTCGTCTGATAGTGTAGCGCTACTGTTTTTTTTGGTCCCGTCTTCCTTAAACTACTGTGCGCCTTTGCTCCGTGTTGCTGGCTGCCCGCTGCTGCTCGTCGTTCGCTCTTATCAGTGGTCAAAACGGTAGTGGTCGACGCCAGCCTCGTCTTCTGCTGGCTAAGCGACTGGCTGCTACCACTGATAGTTCGTTGGCGCTGTTGTCTGCTATTTTAATTTGCTAGCTAGCTCTTTGTTGTTGACACTTAATGCCACGGACAGTGTTGCTACTAGATTCTACCACTGCTTCTGATGTTAACTTTGACTCTGCTGGTTCTGCTTCGTTTTTTCCTTTTTTCGTGGTTGCCTTGTGTTCTTGTCACTGCGGCTGCCTCGCACTGAGTGTGGCAAGCACGGTGACGCCTTTTCTGCAAACTGTTCGTACGGTCGTTCGTCCGCCTGGCTTGTTGTTGCTGCTGCTGCTCCAACCGCTGTTCGTCGTCAATTAAAGGCTTTGCCTCAACGCCGTCCTCGTAGACAGTAGCGCTTCGTAACGATGTCGATTATTACAGCGTTATTGCAATGTAGACTCAGAATGAATTGAAACGCTGTGGATGCCTGAGGCAGGTCTTCCGCCTGTGTTGGCAGCGTAGTTGGTAGTTGGTGTTTGGCCACCACCAACAGACAATAGCGTCCTACTGCGGCGAAATAGTTTAAAGTTTCTTTAGTGCAACGTGTAGCACACAGTTTGAACAAGTATACGCCTCAGTGGCTGGTCGTTTAGGTGGCTAGTCGTAAAGGTGATGAAGTGTGAATTTGTAGAAAACTTTTTAATTTGATATTCTCAGCTTCCTTTCGTTTTCTACCACTTTTTTTGTAGCTCACTTTTTTGTTTGTTCTTTTTGTGTGTTTTTATGATTTTTGCTGTTAGTTGTTATTGCCACTCTTATTATCGTTTATGGTTGTCGTTCTATTCCGACAAACGAAGTTAGCGCAAGTGTGTTGTTAGAAATTTTCCGCTCGCATAAAACACACACATACAACTTGACATAAACACGCACAAACATAAACACTTAAGCACAAGCGCGCGATCTACAGCGTAGCGTTTCCTTCATGAAAGAGGCGAAAGGCAAAAAAGACGAAAATCGACGTCGATAACGACAACGACAACAAGACTAGACATTCAGTGAGACAGGCAGGCGGCCAAACAGACGCGCGTTTCAAATGTATCGTAACGGTCACAACGTTAGACGCACCTCTGTATACACGTACTGTCGAAACTCAACTGACAGTAGCAGCAGTAAGTCAGTACCAACCAGCCAGTTATCCAAACAGGCGATGAAGTAAACCATTGTACACTCTCGTCCTGGTGCTGACAGAGGCAAACCGAAGGCACGAACAGCGCCGAATGCTATGTCAAATTGACGACAGACAGCATCGTCTGTTAACAGCTTGTAGGTGTAGGCGCCCGTACAATCAAACAACCGACCACCACCCACCTCTTAATGTTTGACCTCTTCTGTTTGTCGCGCACTCTTCTAGCCTCTAACTGCCTTCTGCCTTGAAAGTCTGTGGCTAGATCCATACCAATACTTATGTATGCGTATATGGTATATGTATATGATATATGTATAAATATGTGTATGGTTTGTGAGTCAAACCACTGCCACGTAGCGTCGAAACTTTGGCTGTGGAAGCTCCATAACGCTCGTGTTAATCAAAACCCGCAACCACAAACAATTATTTTGGGCATAACGCCCGCACCAGCCAACATTGCAGCAGTCGTAGCCTGTGTCACTGTACACACATTCATGTATATACCGTTATTTTATTAGTTTTTTGTACTGTTCTTGTTGTTGGTTATTGTTTTGAAACAATAAAAGTATATAACCGCGGTCTTCCTGTCAACTACAATGTCCGTTTATCTGTTTATGCCTTTATCTGCTAAGCAATTCGTCAGTCAGTGCATATCCTGTGAATAGACAACAAATAAACAACAACAGTATTTACGTTTATATGCATATAAATACATACGTATGTAAACTTGCATAACGTCGGAGCACACAGACACTTTGCCTCTCAGCCGCCTGACTGCCCATTCATCCATCCGTTCCATCCGTTTGTCAGCACCACCGTACAGCCCCAACTAGCAAGCTTTCCGTACATTTTCATAACGGCCGAAGATGTGCTCGTCCTTCAATGTCCTCTCTGTTACGGCGGCAACGACCCGAAAACATCTGATGACAGCCACAACTCCTTACCCTTACCCCGGCCAGCAGCTGTGGCAGCATGTTATCAGCACTGCTGAAGCTTTGCCGCAATTAAAATATTGTTGTTGTTGTTGGCGCTTAAAATTTTTTCCCTGTAAGATGGACGTGTTTTCTACATGCCTTTCGTGACGAGGATGTCCTTTCGTTGTTTAACAGCACCCACAACCCTTCCCTCGCCACCAACTTGGTATGATTGCACATATGTATATGTAGATATGTACACGCATACCTTTACACAAGCATAGCGAACGCCCCAATAGCAGCGTACATTATCCTGAGACACAACAAAATAGTTGGAACGCTCGAAAAGACCCGAAAGTGAATGAAATGGAACGGCATGAATGGAAACAGAGGAAAATAAAAGCTTCGTAATCGTCTGAGCTTTTCCGTCCTCACACACATAATGAAAATGTTAATCTGGCGCATCACCTATGAGGGTATGTGGCCGTGTATTTTTTCAATAGCACACCAAACTTTTTTGTACTTCTGTAGAAAGTTTTATCATGTTGACGCAAAGCTTTAATTTTTGGTATTTCCTACTAACTAGCAAACGCTATCAGAAATTATAAATATTTTGTATAAATTTTGTAACCAGCTGGGTTCCGAACGCACGACCTACATGTTGATAGTAACGCACCTTACGCTTTTTCTCTTCAACGGTCATTTTCATATACTGTTATGCATGTTCTGCAATAAATTTGTTTATATAGAAATGTGTGTGTGAAATTGATAGCCCAAGGTGATTTTGAACTCAGGCGCACACATATTTACTGTTATATAGTACGTATGTATATATGTATATGTTCGCATGATTGTGTAAGTAGGTTATATACGCCCACATGCTTGCAGACTTCTTGTCATTTTAATTGTTGTTATTGTTATTTACTGCCTTTATTTGCGAGTGTTATTGTTGTTTCGGATGTTATTTGTCTTTGCGCTTGTTTCTCTATTATTTTTTCGCTTTTTTTTTGTTTTTGTGTTATGTTTCCTATTTGTTTGTTTTGATTTTATTTTTTTGTATTTTTCTATGTATTTTTGTTTCTCCTTTACTATGATTGTTATTGTTCCCTGCCGACTTTGCTGGTTGTAGCTTTCACACACACACTCACTGTATTATACATATATGTATTGTATGTACATATAAACAGTTGAAAGTAATAAAAGAGGTTTCCTCAAACGAGCTGCTTGGCGAGCATAAGCATCCTGCTTGTCGCAATGATCTACACTGTAAGAAATTATGTGTAAATTTCGATGAACTGAGCTGGAACTACAAGTAAATATGCCTCAGCGCTTTTGACAGATACGTTTTCTTATGTCTCATAATTTTCTCAACTTAATGCTCATCTTGATGGTTCAAGGAAATTCATTATTGCCTTACGTCCTTGTAAACCAAAACATTCACTTGTCCGATTTTAAAAACCTCGATTGATATCATAATTATCATCAACGAGACTAGTGCGTCTCTTGCATCACTGAATAGTTCAACTAAAGATCAAAGGAGAAGAAATGCACGAAAGCATATTTTCAGGCGTCATTTGGCACTTCGAATGGAAAGTCTTTTCACATAGGGTGCGCCTGAGAGAACTTTGGACAATGCTGTGGCGAGCACAAAATTTGTGCGTTGAAGAACATTTTGAATAACAATAACGAACAATCCGACCCCAAGGATGGTCTCCTAAGCTGTTATTGCTCAAGGGGGCCGTTTGTGGAGTTATACTCGAGCAGATCAACAGAATTTTCTAACCTTCCAAAATGAATTATTAGTCAATGTCTTGGGTATTTATTAAGAGTAAATATTTTCTTTTCTTCCCGTTCAGCATCATTTATTCATACCTTGAGCAATTAGTCGAACTGTAAACGATTATCACTAGATCTTTTTGCTTCTCCTTATATGCTGTCAACGTCCCGTTGAGGCCATTAATTCTCATAATTTACAATTATTTTGACCGAGACTAACAGGAAGACTATTTGCTTAAGCACTTTTGGCATGCTTATAAAACTTAAGCGAGATATTGCATACCTATTTAATTACGTGGGAAAATATTTATAAATTATTTTTAATCCAAAAGGGTCGTGAAATATTGGAAAATCATGTGGTGTACATTCAAAGTTCATACCATCTTATACAACTTAGCACTTCGGAGAGAGTCATCAACCCTGGGATCTAATGGAGATTAAAATGAATGTATAACTACTAAAACATTTGTGTTCGTAATCAAGTTGAGTCCCCAAAACACTTCTGCAAACATTTTCAACGATTCCGCAGTCTGCATTGGTCCAGTACGCGTCAATTTGTTCAGATGGTATTATGAGACTTTTCCTGTTCCCAGCACTCAAATAACCGCTCCGATTGAAAGCGACTATATTGAGGTCGTAAAATGGGATGCGCTGAAGAAAGCAAAGGGCTTTAAGTTCCGGGGAATCACTGTCAACAGGAAATCTTTAGAAATTATATTTATTGAAATTATTTTTTCGTCAGTCTAAGCGTAATTTGATGAAGCGATATTAGTGAATAAAACAAACTAGTAAATTATAAGATTTAACTGCACATAAATAACCCCAAGCGATATACAAGTACATACATATGTAACTTAAAATAAGCTGAAATTTGTTAGAATATATATACAATATATATATATTTTTTTTTATATAACATACATATACTTATGTACTTGTATAAGCACATATGATAGTTATCATATTTTTACTTTATTTACTACCGAAGCTAACGCTATTGTGTTTCACCACCTCTTGAACCCCTTCCTGGAATGTTTCTTTTTTTTTACTTTTTCTTTGATTTCCTTTCTGCGCTTATTGCGGAACTTTTCATGTTCTATTAAACTATGGCAAAGTTTTCGGTTTCGAGAAAATCTTGTTGGTAAATTTATTTTGCAGCATTTGTTGTACTTGTAAACGCTCAATCATATTATATGCATCGTATGGGGGTATATACATATATACTATTATATGTGCATTTGTATGTGAAGTTGCATACATATGTGTACGCATATTATATACATAGTTCTGGATGTGTGCATTGCGGATCCTGAAGTAACGGCCGTGAACGACGGTATGTTCCAATTTAATTTTAAAAAGTGGTTTCCAATTACACACCAAATGCACAAGCTCTAGATTACAACTTATTGTAAAGCATTTATATAATATATATATATATTGTATATATATATGCATATGTGAGAAAAGGGTTCCTTTCACGAAATCGCCTTGCCTCCACACGTTTTACTACTCTTTGACACACACATATATCTATGTACATCCTCCCACACGTAGACACAAACTACTTTCGCTTTCATCATACACCAATCCACTAACACTTTATAAGTTGATTATAAAATATTCCGCGCGCTCTTCCACCTTCTGCTCCGCCTTTTATTATTTAATTTTTTTCCCCATTCTATTTTACATTTTCTATAGCATTAGCATGCATCCATGCACACATACAATTTTTGAAAATTATATATTTTTTGCGCATTGATTTTTGGTAGCCATACCTCAGTCGAAGCGTGAGCCTGCTGCCTGAGCAGCTGAGTGGCATTCACACATACACAATCACGCACACCCACACACTCACACACCTCGAACACTGCTGGTGAGCTTACTGGCGATGCTCTGTTTTGTGTTTGGTGCATATCGACCTATCCTGACCCTGACACAGTTTGCATTTTGCCACTGCTTCCTGCAAGAAACGATGGTCAATAAGACGACGTTGACAACAGCGAACGTTGGTGAGTACCAGCTCTACACCAGCGCGAACGGGAAGCAAAAACAAATACCGCAATTGGAACACTTAAATGGATATCAAGCACACACATACACACATTTACACCAGTTGGCTGGCTGGCTTGGCTGTTAACCTGAAAAGTGTTGCATTGATGAGGCCTTGGCGAAGTGGCCTGAAGGCTGTAGGTGCGGCTTCTCACCAGCAGCCACGCAGCAACAGCAATTTCAGTTGCAGCAATGCAAGTTTGCTTCTGGCTGATTACATACTTGTATACAAAAGAAACAACTAAATAGAGAAAGTGAAGACAACCAACAAATTTAAGAAAGTTCAATTTTAGTACAAGCTCACCTATTTAAAATATTTATTCCTTAAAGAACTGTCAATTTTTCGGCTTTTTTCAATGTTCAATACCGAGATAAGTGTCCAGTTCTGGTTGTGAGAAGACGTCTTCATTTTCTTGTGCCTGCATAGACTTTCTTCGGCCCGAGCCAAGTATGCGGCGGTATTTGGATCCAAGTCGATCTTAATAAACACGGTATTATACGGTATATTTCTTAAAAATTTAAATTTTTTCTTTGATTTTGTTTTTTTAATATTATTATCAAATTGCACGAGTATTTATGGTATGAACAAGGTTTTCATAAAAGTTCATCAATCTTTCAAAGGAATGTTAAGAATATCAACAGCTTCAACTCGATAGCAAGTTGAAATTCTACTGGTGTGAGCGTTTGGTGAAGATCCAGAATACGAACCGTTTCGACAGTTTTGTTATTTCTGTAATTTTGACTAACTTACATCTTTTACTGTTCAAAGTTTAAAGTAGTATGAGAAGAGTGGCTTGTGTGAGAATAATATCTTCGCTGCCACCATAAAATATCACATAGTATATCTGTTGAATATGTGTTGATGATATCAAATCTGATCTCAAAGAATACAAATAATTTATCAATCGTTACAATAACACACAATAATATTGTTTATTGATTATTATACCATGTTCAAGGAAGTCGATGAAAATAATTCCATGTGCATTCCCAAAAAATCTGACTAAAACCTTGTCAACTAACTTTCACCACGCAACCATCAGCCAGAGGACTCAAGCGTGTAATGTACTATCTCCATGTTTTATGTCAGAAATCGGCGCAGAAACGAGTCCTTATTTTATTAGTGGCAGCGTGTCGATTGAGATAGTTGTTCAAAAAAAGTGACCAAACCCATCAGGCTCAAAAGCTTAAATTTTTTATTTGTAACAAGAAAAAAC